ATACACAAAGTGGAGGGTTGGTGGAACCATTTTGTTTCTTTACCTCTCACAGTTTGCTAATGTGGGCTAAAGCAGGTGAAATTCTGCTCCATTCTCCCAAAATCAAGCCCCACTGTATAGTGTTCTGGATGTAGAGACAGGAAAAAGGCAGAGGAACCTGGTAATTGAGCCCATCCCGCCCTCCAACCAGGATCCCAGAGAGTGGCCATTCCCCTGTGAGATGAAACACCTCACCCCTCCAGCTAAGTAAGGAAGAGGAAATCTTAAGGGGCAGGCATACCAGGATCTATCCTAAATGCAAGAGTTCACTATGGTGGCTCTTCTCACCATGAGACATTTTAAAATGGTATAGAAAATGCTGACTTAATGCAGAAGTCATGGACTGTGCAAAATGACAAAGATACCAGATAAAATATACAACTATAAGTAAGTGAACCATAGAAACAGAATTAAATGCAAAGATAGATCTCAGAAGGGTACCTCCTAAAGGTGATTCTATTTCTTCTCACCAACAAAACCTGTGTTTTTTTTAAATTTTTTTCCTTGTATGATAAGAACATAAGAACATAAGAATGGCCATACTGGGTCAGCCCAAAGGTCCATCTAGCCCAGTATCCTGTCTGCCAACAGTGGCTAGCACCAGGTGCCCCAGAGAGGGTGGACTGAAGACCATGATCAGGCAATTTGTCTCCTGCCATCCCTCTCCAGCCTCTGACAAACAGAGGCCCAGGACACCATTTTATCCCCTGGCTAATAGCCTTTTATGGACCTAACCTCCATGAAATTATCTAGCTTCTCTTTAAACTCTATTATAGTCCTACCCTTCACAGCCTCCTCTGGCAAGGAGTTCCACAGGTTGACTACACGCAGTGTGCAGAAGAACTTTCTTTTATTAGTTTTAAACCTGCTACCCATTGATCAAACAGGAGTGGAAATAAAAATGGGTCCCAAAGGCACAAGAACAGAGCTCAGAAACTTCACAAATAATGAATCAGTGTATGGAGTAACATAATATTTTCCATAGAAATTGCAATCCTTGTCTAGATACAATGGCTTAAAATAGGTTATTCCTCTTACTACTCATCAAGGGCCCAATTCTGTGGGCATTTGCCCATATGTGTGGCTTTGCTTACAGATTTGTCCTACCTATCTCACATGGCTGGAGCAGCCCCTGCCAACCATAGTGGGTGGGGAGGCTATTCGCCCCCCCTTTTCATCAGTCAACCAGTAAAACACTACATTTAACAGGTTAACCAATTAAATGGGATTTTACATCCCTACTATATATGCACACACAAACTTTCATTCTCTCCAGACTAAACAATTCATAGATCCACAGTGATAACATATTTTGTTGTACAGTAAGGAATAGACACAATTATCTCAGTTGCTTTATTGTGTTCATTTAAATGCTGAATGAGTCAGTGTTCGGACTTTATAAAGTTATGTATGTGGGTTGAGTCTTCTGATTCATGCTAAATTACTTAAGAAAGCTTTGTTTGCCACTGTTAAACATTTATTCATAGCTCTCAGCATTCATAGCATTTTAGCTTTCTGAAGCTCTATTCCTGCAAGCAGACCCATGCAGACAAAAGTGTCTGCTTGTACTGATATCAGTGAAAAATTGCAGCCCAAAGTTGTTTCAGATTAGGTAACCCTATTGCAATTATATTCGTAATCCACATAAATTAATACAAAGAGTACATAGTGTATAGTTGTTACACGGTGTTAGGTGAACTAAACACATAGGCTAGGGCCAAAATGAACAGTTAGGTTCATTCAGTCCAAGTGGAGGGCTCAATTATATGACCTACAGCTTACAAAGAACAATATGATTCAGAACATAAGAACGGCCATACTGGGTCAGACGAAAGGTCCAGTTAGCCCAGTATCCTGTCTTCCGACAATGGCCAATGCTAGCTGCCACATAGGGAATAAACAGAACAGGGATCATCAAGTGATTCCTCCCCTCTCACTCATTCTCAGCTTCTGACAGAGGCTAAAGATGCCATTCTTACTCACGAGAACTAGAGGGTCACAAGGTGAAATTAATAAGGAGCAGATTTAAAACAAAGAAAATCTACTAGCCTGAGCCCCCCAGGCTATGGTGTGTGAGGGGAATTCCTTCTCAGTCAGAGGCCACATCAGTGAGGGGTGGTTTTTTTTTCCTTTTTGCTTCTCATTTGTGTGAGGCCCCTCAACTGAAGAAAGGTTCCCACCCCTGATTTAAATTGAAATGGAAGTTAAATATCTAAATACCTTTGCTCTAGATCTAAGGGTACATCTAGACTACATGCCTCTGTCGCCAGAGGCATGAAGTCTAGACATACCCTAAGTGACTTGCCCAAAGTCCATAGGTCTTCTGAGTCCTAGTCCTGTGCCTTTACCACAAGGCCAATCTTTCTCTCTTAGGCTATGTCTAGACTGCAGGCAGATCTTTCGAAAGAGAAATCCGCTTTTTCAAAAGAGAGCACCCAGCAAGTCTGGATGCTCTCTTTTGAAGACGGCCTCTTTACATTGAAGAACGCCTTCCTTTGAAAGCGGAACTTTCGAAGGAAGGCGTTCTTCCTCGTGAAACGAGGTTTACCGCCATCAAAAGAAAAGCCGCGTTCTTTCGGAATTATTTCGAAAGAACGCGGCTTGAGTCTGGACGCAGGGGAAGTTTTTTCGGGAAAAGGCTACTTTTCCCTAAAAAACCCCTGAGTCTGGACACGGCCTTAATGGGATGCTCAGATAGCTGCTATTCAGCATGAATAAGAGGGTCAGACATGGATCTTTAAAAACTGGTGACTGGACATTTTCTTGCTGTTGTCTGCAAGGGTATTATACACATATTAACACACTCATTAGGGCCCAATTATTTCATATTAATAAAAAAAGGAATGATGTGTTGAGTGCACTATTACACTCCTATGTGAATTGCCATGTTTTCCATGTGAATACAACTAAATTTTTCAATGAGTGGGTGGCTTGTAAAATGACTTATCTTTTACAGATTTCTAGATCCAACAAAAGCCACCATTTCTTTCCCTTACCCCCGACAAAGACCTCTTTAATTCCCAACTTTTCTAAGTTTGCCTTTGTCTGGTACTACTGGAATATGGCACAAAGATTGTTCTGTTTAATTGTCTTTAGAGGCAGAAAATTCAGTCACCATTATCCATACGCCTAAGGCCTAATGAGTTTCCCCGCCCCCCAGAAATCTATCCTTTGGGTAAATATATTTTTGACTGCACTTTGTTTTTAAATACAATCAGAAGTGATACATTTTAAAGGGTGAACCTCTATCTCATTCAAACCAAGCCTGGGGCTCAAGGCTAGGACAGTTAAAGAGAATGCCCTAATCTGACTATACAGCTGATAAACTGATAACCCTCCATGTGCCACACACTTTCCCTTCCAACAATAAAACTCAACCAGAGAAGTCAAATGGTGAAATCCTGGCACCTCTGAAGCCAATTGGAAAACTCATATCGATTCAATAGGACCAGAACCACTTCCAAAGAGAAAATTTGGACAGATAAGGACAACACATTGATATAAAATCAAGTATTTTAAAACAGATCCCTCTCCTGGTCAGAGTAAAAATTTGTGTAAACATCAGCTTAATTTAAATTGGGGTAAAAACCTAACAATCAAGAACATTCACATTCTAGGATCCCTACTGTTACCCTAATAAACAAAAATTAGTATCAATAATTATTAATTGAGAACACCCAAGCACACTGCATAAATGTTAAGCTTGATGTAACACACAAGTTTTCCCGGTGCAGTTCACTGTGTAGTGGCACTTAGACCCTTTAGAGAGAAAGAAAGAATGAATTTCCTCTGCAGCCTTGGCTGAGCGCCAGCTGGCTTTTGGTTCAAACTGTAGAGGCTCATGCACTAAGCTCCCCAGAAGTCCAAGGTTCTTGCATGGAGCAAGACCCTAGTGGGAGTTAAGACACAAAGGGCCAGATCCTCAGCTAGCATAAATTACTGGAGTTCCATTGGCACCAAGGCAACTATGCTGATTAACACCTACTGAAGATCAGGTCCAGAAACAGGAAGCTCACTAAAAGTCAGACTTGCTTTTCTTTGCATTAAAATGCCTAGTGGAATTTGTTCTGTTCTTAGCAGATGGAAATTTTGATTCTATACTTGTGTCTGATTTGAGAATTAAACAATTTTGTTTGACGTAGAATGGAGCTACCCACTGCCTCCGCCTCAGAGCACAAAGCCCCAGATGGACCCCTCACATTGGCTGAGAGAAGAAGCAGTAACACCTCCTGGGGACAGAACTATGATATCCTGCAGATCCCAGCTGCACTTTCCCAGACTTGGGTTGCGATGGCTCCAGATTGGTAGTGGCCGTGTTGGTGGGGGAATCTTTACTACCTCAGAAACCCAGAGGATGTTAGCAATTCTGGATTCTATAATTAGTTTTGTGGGATGAGAAGATTGATTACTGCATGTGGAAAAGTAAGGTCCCTGAGCCAGGAGTCTGATGACAGTTAATCCCCAGAAGCACTTTTGCAGACCTGGACTATGTGGCACTTGAGAACATTTTCCATAAGGGAGCAAAGGAATGCTGTACTCTTGCACTTGACATCAGCAGGGACACATCCTTTCCCCCAGACAACAACAGACAATGGGAAATCGCTCAGAGCTCTGGTAGCCACTCAGTTCTGTGCGGGCAGGTACCATAAGGGAAGGGGGAAGTCAGTAGAGAGATGGACCCAATGTACTTCTTCAGACTCTGCAAGGTCATTTATAATTTTAGATATTTAAATGTTTAATATTTTTAAAAGAGCTTGGTGTGCTGTGAGAGGCACCCATGGAAACAGTCTGTGCAAAAATTATGCACTTATGTAACATTGGGGGAAGCAAGTGCAAAGCCAGAAAATATTAAAGGGCCTCAGGGGATGATGCACACAGGGATGTTCAGAATGATAACTGAAAATAATGTTTAAGTGATCTAGGACCCACAAGTTATGCATATTGTTAACTTGTGTAATGAGGGCTATTTGAGGCAACAACCATCCCTTTCTTGGACAGGGCCTTGCACAAAGGGACTCACTAGCGTGTGAGTATAGGTGAGCAAAAAAAAATTAGTTAACCACAATAATCAGAAATGGGTTTACCTCGAGTGAGGCTGGCAGCAGGTTTTCACAGAATTTCTGTAACAGTGTAACTCTCTCACTTCTGAGCTCACACACTACTTCTGCTAAAAGCACAATTGTGTGGCTATTGCATGCCGAACCTTAGGAATTTTATTATGGTTTAAAAAATGCCTTTGTTTCACTTACTGGTGCAGAATTGTCCCTTTGTCCTCTGGATCTGACCATTCTTCCCAGCACTTCTATCCCATCCGAAGTAATATTCCCTGCTGCATTAATTGTCTTTTCACTGACTTGCTTGCAGTCAATAATAATTTTGGCCATAGTCTTGCTGATAACAACATGTAACTAGGCAAAAGAAAAGACATTTGAAAACACAGAGAGGAAACCAAAGAATATGGGTTATCAGACACAATGAGCATTTTCAAAATGAGTTGATCATATTAGTCCATAACAGATACTCCGTTCAATTAATTAAGCCTCCTTTTCTGCAGGGTTGTCATTTCCTCACCCCTGGGCAAAGGCTCCATAAAAGGATTATTCACCACCTGAATCCCACTGAGCCCTGTATTGATGTACTGCTTAGTGAAGTGCAGGTTTTGTGTGAGCCTGCCTCATAGGACTGTCTTTTACCCAAAATGTTATGCAGAGATTCACAAATGGACTCTACCAAAAATAGTCGTAAAAGCCATTAAATAATTTTGACAGAATCATCAAATAAAAGCAGTGTGAAGGCTTTACAATAAAAGATCAAGGTGAGAAGCATCTCTCTGCAGCCCTCGTGGACCCAGCTGGGGGAGGGGTACCTGTCCCCTGGCTGGGGCAGCTCCAGGTTTATCTGGCCCCAGCATGAAGAATGTAGTAAACTGTGCACTTTCCCTTCACTCCATGATGAAGGGGAACAGCTAGCAATGTTCCTGTACGATTTGAGGGGGGTGTTTCAATCCACTCCCCATACTCACTAAAAGGTGCTTGGGAGGTGAGAGACTCAGGACAGGGGCAGTCCCGGATGGTGGGGGGAGTGCCCCAAACCAGTCCCTTTCACCTGTCTGGTGATTCTGTCTTTTTTCTGTATAGTTTTCTGAGAAGCAATCCCATTCTAGGAACATTCCATTTTTGTGGCACAGCCAAACTGAATTTGGTGAATTTGTAGCTCTTACAGTTTAAGAGGAGTTCTTGAACAAACAGACTGACAGATGGACAGACAGAAAGACACAGAAAAATCTTTGTTCTGTATTCTTAAAATCTGTCTGTCTCTTAGCATAACTAACCTTATGGAAACTTCCATAGAATATTTTCTTTATTTCAGGGCCTTCAAATGTAACAGTTTGAAAATCCCCTCTGTAGTCATAGTTAAAGAAAATCAGGGTTTTACCATCATCTGTAAAATCAAAGAGAGACAGTAATTCTCGCTGTGTGAGGAAAAAGCAGATAAATTATTATTTGTTAAAAGTCAACATTGTTCTTCATAATGCAGACAACAAAACTTTCAAGATAATTCTTGCACTAAAAAACCTGGCACTATAGAATTATCATTTGTATTTTAGGTTCCCCAAACTGAAAATCATGCAACTATTTATTCCTTTTAAGGAAAGAAAAAGCTTTGTTACTAGTAGTTCCTAAATCAATGCTTTATCATTTATAACATACAATTCCTCTAGATAAATCATATTTATAGCTACATTATAATGTAGACGCCATAGTCAGTTGGAATCCTTCATTGGAAGCAGCTGTGGAATTATACCCCTGGGATAAGTCTACTCCAAAATTTGGGTTTTCAAAAGAACCTAAAAGAGTTAGGTGTAGAGCTGTGCAACAGATGAGAATTTTGTTTTTATTAAAAAGATTTTGAAATCTGGCTTTGTTCCAAATTGCAACATATGCAGAAAAAATTTGAAATTTCCAATCTCTCTATACATTAAAAAAAAAAAAACTTATCCTGAGGGACGACAGAGTGATGTCATGTGTCACTCTGCATCCTCTCTGTCTGCCCTCAGCTCCTCCCTCTGCCTTCTCCCATGCTCCGTGGAGCCATGAGCCATGCAGCCTCCCCCAGGCACAATGGAGAAGTGGGGCTACAGGGAACCGGGGGCAGGGGAGGAGTGCTGTCCGTTCTGTGGCGCCTCAGGCTGCTTCAGAGTGAGGAGCGGTAGGCCTGGGCTGGGAAGCAGGTGGCTGGGAAGCCAGGCAGCCTGACTCTGCATGTGGCAGCTGCTTTGCAGCCTCCCTCTGCAGGCTCAGTCCTGGGTGCCTTGGGTCACAGCCAGGAACTGCTTGAGAAGAATAGAGGGAAGTGAGGCCTCTGCTTCTCTCTCAGGCAGTCAGGCAGCACTGGGGGGATTGGGCCCTGGGCAGAGATGTGCCGTAGCCTGGAGCAACTCGCAACCTGCAGAGATGCCTGTGTCCCACCCCACACCCTTGGTTGCGGGTCGCTGGTGGGGGAAAGGAGGGGTGAGTTAGCCCTCTGCCTCCTTCTGCAAACAGGACTCCCAGCCCAGTCCCACAATGCATAGGGTGTGCCAGGTTCCCTCAGCACCACCTGCGTGGAAATGCCCATGCCGGGCACCGGGGGAACCACCCTCACTGAACCCCTCCCAGCTCCGTGCCACATTAGCTAGGGGTTAACATCCTCCCCACACCCAGGCTTCCTCCCCCCCCACCGGCTTCACGCAGCTTGAGTCAGAGTGTTAGTCCCCTCCCCTCACCACACCACCCCCATTGGGCCTTTGCTCCCCTCCCCGGATTCCATGCCACACGGGCCAGTGGTTAACGCCCTCCCTCACACACTTCTCCACCCCCCCATTGGACTCCATGCAGTTGATTCCCTCCGTCAACTGCCCTCTGAGGCATCATAAAGGGGTGGCCCAGCAGCGTTCAGAGCAGCTGCCAATCCACTGGTGCTGATTCCTTGCTGGTTAGGTTGTCCATTCGTGGGAAGGGACAGGGTGTGTGTAGGGAGGGAGGAAGGGGGATAGTGTGTATGTGGGAATGGATGGTGCGGTAAAGAGGGACAGTGAGTGTGGGGGGATGGGCAGTGTGGGGAGAGAGAGGGGTTAAGGAGGATCAGTGGGTGTAGGGATGGAGGCAGGGGGTAGGGATGGAAGGAGAGGGATGGGCAGCATGAGGAGGGGGAGGGTTAGGAAGGATGGGTGGGTATAGAAATGGAGGCAGGGGGATGGGAGTGTAGGAATGGAGGACAGAGGTAGGGGTAGGGATGGAAGGAGGGAGTGGGCTGTGGGCCATGAGCTCCAGACTCTGGCTCTTCCCCCCAGAGACGGGGGGTTGGCGAGTATAGAGAGCAGGGGGCACCGCCCCTAGTAAATGTTTAAAAAATATATATATTCTGAAACCATCAAAACAGTATGCTTTGACATTGTCAGAACTTTTTTCTTGCTTTTCTCCCAAAATAAAATTCAGGCAAAACGGACCCAATTTTGTCAAGTGTTTTGATTTTGATGGAATTGCACATTCTGATGAAAGATAGCTCTCAAAAAGTTTCTCTGGATGACTCTAATTAGGTGCCTATCTCCCTCTGAAATTGTACTTGAGTCTTTTAAAACCCCCATTCTAGCTGTCCCATAGATGTAACCTAGATGAAAGGCTCAAGCAGAGCTCTGTGACCAGATAATATTCAACATCCTCATTGATTTCAGCCTAATCTATCATAGATGATGTGTTGAATTGATTTTCTAAAGGCACTGAAAGCATACCACATTCTGCTAGCTGCTACTACCAGGCCCCAAGTGGTTCTGTGAAGCCATGAAAGCATTCTTGCTTTGTGTTCAGGCCCACTGACTGGGGGAACGGGGAAGGGAAGGACAAAGAGTGCAGCTATCCGAGGGCTGGGAGCTCCTGACAGCTGCTGCCATTACCGCAGGAGCCCTGGGCCCTTTAAATCGACACTGGAATGCCCGGTGGCTCTGAGTGCTGGTGAGGGGGCTCGAGGGAAGGCTGCCCTAACCCTACCCCTTCTGGGATTGCAGAGTCAGTCCCCACTAAGTCACCTGACTTAGGGCCCGGTGAGTCTGTCGGCTCCACTGTTTGTGTCTATAGATAAATCCAAGAATCGACGTACTACAATCTCAACCATGGATATGAGATCAGCATACACAATGAGGAACACGACAGTGTTTCATGATCACACATGGTTTCTAACATTCATGCTGTATCTGAATATCAGTTGTGGCACTCAGCAACATACTGGTAAGACCCTTAAGTTATGCCTACACTGAAATTAGACACCCACAGCTGGCCTGTGTCAGGTGACTTAGGTTCATGGGGCTCAGGCTAAAGGTCTATTTAATTGAGGTGCAGACATTTGGGCTGAGGCTGGAGCCCAGCGTGTAAGACCCTGCAAGATGGAAGAGTCCCAGAGGTTGGGCTACAGCCCAAACCCAAACTTCTACACCTCAGTTAAACAGTCCCTTAATCCAAGTTTCACCAGCCTGAGTCAGCTGGCATAGACCAGCCATGGCCATCTAATTGCAGTAGAGACAAGTCCTAAGAGACATGGCTTCAATTCCCTGCTCCATCATAGATTTCCTGTGCAATCTTTGGAAAGTCATCTGCACCCAGATTGTTAAAGGGATTTAAGCACGGCAATGGTGTGCTGCAATGCCTAACTTGTTAGGAGCCTAACTCATCTTCAAAGGTGTTTTAGGCTATGTCTACACTGCAGAGTGATTTCAGAATAAGCTATTCCAGAATAGTTATTCTGAACTAGCTTATCTCAAAATATTACATCTACATTAGGGAAGCCTCAAAATAGTGTAGACATGCTATCTCGATTTAGAGCCCCAGGAGAAATAACTTAGAATGGCTCTGGTGAGGAGATATTTTGAAATAGCAGAAGTGGAGCATCAACACACACCTTATTTCGAAATAGCTATTTCGGAATAGGCGTTATTCTTTGTAGAATGAAGTTTACAGAAGTTGGCATTGAAATAAACTGTCTGTTATTTCAAAATTATTTCAAAATAACAGAATTGCTGGGTAGACGTTCACATAGTTATTTTGGAATAACAGTCATTATTCCGAAATAACTTTACTGTGTAGACAAACACTTAGGGCTCGTCTACATTGGCCCCTTTTCTGGAAGGGGCATGGTAATTTTTGAAATCGCAATAGGGAAATGCGCGGGGGATTTAAATATCCCCCGCGGCATTTAAATAAAAATGTCCGCCGCTTTTTTCCGGCTTTTAGAAAAGCCGGAAAAGAGCGTCTACACTGGCCCCGATCCTCCGGAAAAAAAATGATCTAATCTAGCCTGTGAAATAAACCAAGCTGCTGGCAGTTGCATGATGCCAGCCCTATATTTAAACACTGGACATAATGTGGATCCATTAGGTACTGAAATTCCAAAGCCAACACCAGTGGTAGCTATAAATACCTGGATTCTCCACTGCACGAAAGCATTCAGACAGTGGTTAGCTAGAATTGATCACTGCTGCCTGATTCCCAGCTATCTTGCCCCCATATAAGTTTCATATCTCTAAACTACTAATCTTAACTGCCTATGGGTATGTCTACACTTGCACCCTAGTTTGAAGTAGGGATGCAAATGCAGGCATTCGAAATAGTCAATGAAGCGGGGATTTAAATATCTTGCGGTTCATTAGCATGATCTCGCCGGCGCGCTAGTTCGAATCACAGCTGATTCGAACCAGGAAGTGCGCGCCAGGATGCGTTAGTTCGAACCAAACCCCTTGGTTCGAACTAAAATTACTCCTCATCATTCTAATGAAACACGGGATATTTAAATCCCTGCTTCATTGACTATTTTGAATGCCTGCATTTGCATCCCTAGTTCGAACTAGGGTGCAAGTGTGGACATACCCATAGAGATTATATGTCCTAAGTGCCTAAACCCTTTTAAAAATTAGACAGGCTCCTAAATCAGTGAGGCATTGCAATGCTGAGCCCAGCAAAGCCTAAATATGTTTAAAATCTTGGGACTTATTTTTTCTAAGAGAAAATATTTCTGTTATTTCCTTTTTCAAATATTTGGGATCTGTCCCTGTACTGCAGTGATGGGAGTCACATAAATAATTAAATAATAATAATAATGCTTATATCTTTTCATCAGTAGATCTCAAAGCACTTTACACATCATTATCTCTGTTGTAGAGATGGGAACCTGAGGCACACAGAAGTGAAATGAAAACAGGAAAACAGGCCAGTGGCAGAGCCAGAATAGAACTATGGTTTTCTATTCACTGGTTTTCTATGGTTTTCTATTCATTTTCTATTACTCTATTGCCTTGAGTAATAGTATGATCTCATTAGTCTAAATCAAAAAGTAATTCTATGACCTCTTTGATCCAATGCCAACTGAAATCAATGTGAGTTTTCTAAATAATTGGGTAGAATTCAAATCTTAGTTATACCCATCCATCTAAAAATCTACAGTTACTCCAGATTTACACCTATAATTGAGATCCTAAATTTACTAATGGACTCCAGATGAGATTCATATGTGATTCTATCTAGGGAAAATCAGCTTCAAATTTTTGATAATTATTTGATTAATATATTCATTACTTAAGCCATCATCAATGTCTAATTTCAGTATTTTTTAATCATACCTCCCAACGGGACAAAAAAGCATGCCATAAGATATAAAATACCTACTGTCCAAAATAACTCCAACAAGTGGCTCGTATTTTTCATTTAAAATCTCCCACAGAGCAAATGGCTCCTGGGGTGTATCAGGGAGTATTCGGAAGAGAAAAGTAATGGTGTAGTCTGAAGGAAGCCCCTCAGGGTGCAAGTATCTGTAACAGAAAGAATAGTCTAAGAATTGAAGTAATCACAGTTAAGCTGATTTAAAAGCATTCTTCATTACTTTAGACTTGTCTTTTAAAATCAAGACCATGCATCAATATGAGACAAGTATCATTATACAGTAGAATCTACTCAACCATGATGTAAGTCAGAACAATGCTACCCTTGGGATTTTTCCAAATAATTTAATTATAAACTTGATGGTGCTTTACATTTTTGAAGTGATAATCTTTGTTCTACTTTATTATTTTAATTAAAAAAGGAACTAAAATACGAGTTTCATTTTAAAAATTGAGGGCCTAATCTAGAGGTCAGTGGGAGTTGAAGGTATTCAAGGTCAAGCCATGAATTATATTAAAAGCTTCTTTTTTAAAATGCACCCACTTGTGAGATTTTTGATAATCTTAAATTTAGTAGGTGATGAAAATATAAATGACTTGAAAGACCCATAATAATGGACCTTTCCTTTCTAGTTAAACCACCTTTAAACCATTGATAGAAAAGCAATTAACTGATGACAGAGACTTTTGCATGAACTTTTATAATTATTTTTAGAATGTATTTTTAGACCCTGCCCCCTCAACAAAACCTGGGAAAAGCCATCAGCAAGAAAGCTCCCAGGAATATAGTCCCAACTGTGGCAAAACAAGATAATTTCATAAAAACACTGAGAAGGTATCTACATTAAAAAACTATTTTCCTGATGAAAGATTCTTCTTCCGTACTCGTTTCAGCCAAATAAATGCTTTTAGTTAATTTCTGCAGGGTAAAATCCAGTAATTGGCACAAAGGCATAAAAGCTAATTCATTCTTTTCCTCTGCTGCTCTTTTGCTGGTTCAACGCTTCTGTGTGGGGGAATGAATGTGGAGGAGCCATGGAACATGCATAGCACACCAAGCAGGGCACAGGCAGGTTAAGGGAAGGTCAAGAGTCCCTCCCATCACCCTTCTTCTGCATGAGGGAGACAATAAGTACTCAGTGGCAATTCTTTACTTCCCCCTGTGTGCCTCTTCATAGGATCTAGTCCTAGCTCTCAAGCTGTGTGGTGGGTCCTGGATTTAAACAGAGGCAAACTGTGGTGCACTTCCGTACGGCACATAGCGCTTATCATAGGAAGTCCCACTGCAAAACAGTGGGGACTATTCAAAGAGTTCAGTAAGATTGAACATGAATAAATTATCACAATGCGGCCCTAAATTTGTATATGCTAAATTGATAATCACCATATTGCAACCTGTCTTAAAATGGCTCATGTCTCAAGCTAAAAATTGTCATTGTGCTCACTTTGCTTGGCAGTGTAAGTCTGGAGTGGAGTTAGGTCAGGACTTGGCTATCCAAGAAATATTCTTGCAGTTCAACTTAGAACACACACTGAAATTACATGTTGGTTTCCACATTCTTCTACCATGGAAATGCTAAATCTAAAGTAAGTCATGTCCTGAACTGGGCATTAGGATCATAATATATGCATTAACACTTACTTAGTAGGCTGGGAAATTAAGGCATCTTTATGCAGTCTGTAACATGGATAAGCATTAAAAGTACCAGGTTCCATAGATACTCCTTCGACTGTCGAAAACTCCTTTTCAACCAAGCCAAACATTTCCATCATTTTAAATCCTGGAAAGCATAAAAATATTAAACATATCCTTTTAAATTCATTATGTTAAGGGACAAATTGAGCTACATAGAGAAGCTTCATATCACCAGGTAGTTAACAGCTGTTTTTATAATGAAAAGTAAGTAATTTATTATCTAAATGTATGAATATCAGTAAATGAAAGTGATTCCACAAATGCAGAATCTATTATCATAATACTGTACCTGCTAAACTGTTGCCATCCTTATATACCAATGGGCAGGCTGGAAAACAATTAAAAATACATTTAAACTTAAAAGACTATTAAATATTTCAAAACGTATCTGTTTTATTTCTTCGGATAAAGAGCAAACTAAAATAATCTCTCCTAAAGGAGGTCTTCTGGTGAATCAATAGACATTAATAGACTACATATCTAGTTCTGGGAATCTGAGAAGTAAACCCACAACTAGACCAAGCAGGGCTGCTCCCTCAGTATGCCCTGCAGTGCAAGTCGGCTAGTATGGTTCAGTACGCCATGCCAGCAAGACATTTCTAGCTAGCACCCTGCCCCCAGAGCTGCCTTTCCTCCAGATCTGTCTGTAGGGAGCCCCACAGGAGAACAGCTGGGGGCAGTATGGCAGATGGAGGAGCTGCCAGCACACTGCTCCTTTCCCGGCTGCACCTCCCAGCGATGAAAGGAGAAGAACCCTCAGTCCCACCACCCAGCCCTGTTCTCCAGTAGGACTGCCAGTGTATGGAGCCGGGGAGAGGCAGCTCCCTGGAAGGGCAGGAGTAAGTGCTGGGACTTCTGCACCTTTCCCTGCTGGCAGGGGCAAAACAGGGAAAGCAGAACTGTCAACAGCTCTTGTACCACCTTCAGCACAGGCAACTGGAGCCTGTGAAGGGAGGAGGTACAGGGATGACCACCCAGAGGAACAGGGAGGGGGCATGAGGAGGCACCCCATTTAGCAATTAAGATTTTGGCCAGGGCACAGGGAGGTGATGCACCTCTAGAATGCTACCATGAGTCACCTATGGCCCCCAATTCCCCAACCCTAGGAACGTGAGATGAGTATGGGGAGGAGTGCAGTCACGTGGAGGGTTACATGCCCCTGCTTAAGTAAATGTTCCCCCCACGACTGCTCATACTGGTAAGAAATGTATTTTACTGGCACCACTAGGTCTGACTCAGCTCTCCAGCGGAGCATCAATGACTCAACTCTCAGGCATGCTGCAGCAGCCTATCCATGAGCAGGGCCAAGTCAAATAGCCTCAGAGCACGGATAGCAAGGGCTTGGCTAGGAACCTTCCTGCTGTCTCATGTTGTTACCGATTCTCCAGCTGTCCAGACTGCCCTGAGGTCTGTCCCCATTCCTAGGGTTACCAGGTAGCTTCAACAAAAATACCAGACACACTTGATCTCAGAATGGAGGTAAACCAGCTGGTGGGAAGCAGAGCTGGCAAGGGTGGGGGGCAGCAGGGCTGGCCGGGGGAGATCAGGAGGAGGAGGAGGGGGAGAACCGGCCGGTGGGAAACAGGGTTGGTCGGGGGGAGCGGGGCTGGCTGGGGGTGATGGGACCGGCCAGTAGGAAGCAGGGCAGAAGGGGGTCAGGGGAAGCGGAGCTGGCTGGGGAAGATCAGGAGGAGGGAGAGGGGGAAAACCGGCCAATGGGAAGCAGGGCTGACCAGGAGGGGGTTGGGGGAAGCGGGGCTGGCCAGAGGGTGGAGCGAGGGGAGAGAATCAGCCGGTGGAGAGTTGGGCTGGCCCAGGTGCTCGCAGATCCCGGGTTCTGCCCATCCCGTAAACGGTCCTGGCGAAACCCGAGCAAGTCTGGCCCCGGGGATTCCATCCCACCCTGGCCCCACCTCCCTCGCGTAGATGCATATTGCCTGGATGGTAGACACACTCACGCAGCATGAATGTATCTACCAGGCAGTTCACAACTACATACTGATATTTCTAATAATAATAAAACTTACCTAATTAGGAAATAGTGGACATTTTATATGTCCGGTATTTTCCCAGTTTGTTTCTCAGACAGAACCCCCAAATACCAGACTGTCCAGTTCAAAACTGGACACCTGGCAACCCTACCCATTCCTTGTCCAAGTCTTTTCTGTGCCCTATTTTGGATCTCCCTGATCTTGCCCTGCACTGCACCTGCCTCTTGACTGACTGACTCCGATTCATCTTTGACCTTTGGCCTGCTTCTGGACTCTGACTACAATCCTGATTTGGCTTTCCTATGGACTCTGTCCTAGACTCTGACCCACAGCCTCTCTCCAGGCCCTGGTTTCAGTTCAGTATTGCCCTCTGTCTGGTCCTGAGTCGGTGTCTGGATTCAACCACTGTTCCCACCATCAGCCATGACAACCTAGAACTGAGGGCCTAACAGCATCTCATGCGGCACCAGTAGTTGTTCCAAGCTAGCATACAAATTAAAGTGCACTTTTAAAATGTTGACCTGAATGTCAAATAAATAATATTGCTGAGTTTGCAAAGGCCTGGTCTAATGATGTATAATGTTGAAACTGCAACCACTAAGAAGTAGACTGTACGGATTAAGAAAGGTGCATAGCAATACAATAAAAGCAACATTCTTGTGCAGCCAGTTCTGAAAGATTGCAGAAATTCATGTTAGCTACATATAGGCCATTTTCTAGGTATCAATATAATAGAACATAATAAGGGTGTGTATATATGGAAATGTGGAAAATGCTCTCTGATAATGCCCTGGCCCAGAAAGACCCTCTTTTCCTCTAGCCATAGAGGGTCTAGAAAAATGACACCCCCTGGTTTTGGACGGGTGCCAGCATTATAGCAGGAAAATCCTTGCTCCACCCTTTCCCTTTGGGCTGTAACTTTTCCAGTTTGTGTGCTCTGCACATACTAGAATTTGGTCCTGGGGAATACATTTTACAGATGTTGTTTAAATAAAGAATGTTTAGTCAACATTAAACATAAAATAGGTTAAAGGTCTATACAAAATAAAAAGTTAAAAATTGTAGACCAAAAGTCTTCTCTCATTTACCCTGCTGTAAATTCAGAGCAACTTCTTTTTGCTCAAGGAGTTACTCTGGATCACACCAGTATAACAGATGTTCCTGAATAATTGCAACCAGAACCTCATTAGTCTCATACCACAATAATATTGTAGCAATGAGATCTACAAAGATATTAGAAAACTGGCTGTATTTTTCAATGGTATAGAAACAGAATTTTTGGACTAGAAAACCAAATTATAAAAAATGAACTCCTTATTTAGCAGGTATTGAATGTTGCACAGGTACAAATACAAATCAAAATGGCTAACTTGCTGATGCAGTTTCACAGACAAAAGTGATCAGTTCATCTTCAATCTTTTCAAAGGCATCAAAATCATCCACAAAGAAGACATGTCTTTCACTAGGCTTGCTGCCAATGTTAACTAATTCTGAATAATCTGCATCCGCCACACCAATAGCAAAAATGCTGAAACCTAAAAAAGAAAAAGGAATGTTCTCGTGATTTGTTCATTCAAAGAGCGGAAATCAAATATAAACATATCATTTCCTTTGGCTCCTTTCCTGGCTAAATGTACAAATAGAAAAATTCTTAATTTTCCTACAATGCATATGAAAAGTCATGCATGTATCCCAAGTAACGCACTCAGCAGTTCCAAAAGAAATCTCATGGTAATATTTTTCCTTTGGCTATTTAAGCACATGCATAAGTATAATTCTCTTTGACTTCAATGGGATTTAAACAAATGCTTAAAGTTAAGCATGTTCTTGTGTGTTTTGCTGATTTCTTCCATGTTTAAATTTAAGCATCCGTTTAAAATGCTTTGCTGAACTGATGCCTGAGTGCATTTCAACAACAACAAAAACCAGCTGTATAGTATATTACAAATACAAAGCACCCAAATCAATTGCCTTGATTTTTTGAATAGATTTAACTCTATGCAATAGAAGTGGAGTTTAAATGTCACTTTTTATACTGGTTTATTTTCATTTCAGATTAATCAGTGATTAAACCCCACAGGTTGAGCCTGCTCCACAATTTCCTCTGATGGGTCATATTTTGAACTGGGAGCCTGATCTTGATTATGAAAATGGGAGCAAATCTGGCTTGCAAGTTTGAGGAGGAGCAAACAATAATTATTCATCAAAAATATTTCTTGATTCTTTCCTTTCCATGTTCTGACAATAAAAATGACCTATCTGTAATGTTCTGAATACTGGCAAAGCCTGCTTTAGTCCGTGGGAGTCTTTCCATTGACTTCAATAGGCACTGAATGAGGCCCACCCACTCACCCATGATTTTCTATGGCCAGTAGAAGGGCTTTCCTAGGAGAGGATTCCAACCTCTGAATACCTTTCACAGGTACACCAGAGTTTCACCATAATAATTCTTATTATTTGTATTATAATAGCACCTACATGTCCAACCTAGGGATGTTCAATTTTGACTAATCAGCTAATCAAATAGTCGATGAAGTTTCCATTGACTACTTGATTAGCCGATAAAGGGTGGAGTGGGATGCTTGCTATCCCAGCTGCGCCTCTGCCTTTTAAAACTAGTAAGAGCCCTCCACAGCTTACTGCATTTAAAAGGCAGAGGCGCAGTGGGGAGCCTGGGGCGAGTCATGGCGCCATTTCCCCCGTTGCACCTCTGCCTCCCCTGCGGAGACGATGCTGGCGGGAACTGGCTTTTACGCCAGCTCCCCCAGAACTGGCTCCAGTTTCACACCCTTGCTGCCTCTGAAAAAGAGGCAGCAAGGGAGGAGGACGCAACTAGTTGAGTAGTGACTCAACTACCCAATAAGACTAGGCTTATCAGGTAGTCGACTAGTCGCTTATATCTCTAGCCCAAACCATCTTTGTGCCAAGCATCATTCACATGCATTGGGCAGGTTCATTCTACAAGGACAGGTCAATCTAAACTACGCAATCTGAGTAGCATCACTCAAATTGACATAGCTTAGATCTACTTACTGTAGAGACCACACAGCAAGGGACTGTCAGAAAAAACGCTTCTGTTGACTCCTCTTATTCATCTTATTCTGCTGGAGTACTGGAGTCAACAGGAGAATGACTGGCAGTCGATTTTGTGGGTCTTTACTAGACTTGCTAAATTGACCTTCAGTGGATCGATCACTGCAGCATCAATCCACACCAAAGTGGAGACTCGGGATGTTAAAAAAGTGGATAATTGGGTAAACAAGTAACTGTTGAAACACTGAGCAGTTACATGGTTATTTGCACACACAGCGCTGAGCATCAGCCAACTCCGTGGGAGCCAGTGCTCACCAGGAGCCAGCTATTAAATTAGCTCCCAGTGTGCACTGGCTCATGCCTGCCGCTCCATTCCTGGGTGCCAACTGTTGTCCTGCGCTGCCGCCTCTGATAAAAAGGCAACAGCGTGGTTTAGCAGCCGCTTCCCGGGAGCAGGGTGAGGGCCTGCTTGTAACCATGATTGTTAACCATGACTGTCTCTCTAGCACAGTGGCTCACAACCTTTCCAGATTACTGTATCCCTTTCAGGAGTCTGATTTGTCTAGCTTACCTCCAAGTTTCACCTCACTTAACTACTACCTGCTACCAAAATATGACATAAAATACAAAAAAAATCCCAGTGCACTATTGCTAAAAAAATTGCATAGTTTCTCATTTTTACCAGATAATTATAAAATAAATCAATTGGGATATAAATCTTGACCATACATTTCAGTGGATAGTATACAGAGCAGAACGAACAATTTTAGTTTGTATGGACTTTGCTAGTATTTTTTATGCAGCCTGATGTAAAACTAGGCAAATATCTAGATGAGATGAGATGCCTAACATGGATGAGAATATGATTTATAAGATTCTGTCTGAAAATACTTAAGCTTGTGAGCAGTCTGCATGATTTTAAAAACATGCACAAATATTGAGCTAATAATACTAATACTAATACTAATAACCAGGGCTCGCTGAACCATGGCAAGCCCCGCTCGCCAGCCGCACTGTCCGGCGATCTGCGCATGCACAGATCGCCCGAACCCAGCTCTTCCGGGTTACAATCTACTCGCCATAGGCGAGTAGATTGTATAATTTGTCGAGCCCTGCTAATAACTACAAATAAATTATATAAAATGATACTTATTCCCTAGTGGAATTCAGAGTTTCCCAGTATGTGCTGTCTGCTTTAAATCTTACTTGGATTAGATTTATATAACCTTTTGTGGCAGAAATTATCCATATTGAATGTCTGGGCTTAAACAGGGATGATGACGATGGAGGAGTGGGAAAAACTGAAAATGCAAACATTTTCTAATATATATGTTACCATCCAGTTGCATCTCTCTGGAGACTTTGTTCACATCATCCTGTGATCGTCCATCAGTAATGACCACCAAAACCTTAGGGATGCCCCTTCTTATGCCTGAATCAGTAGTAAACAAGGCCTCCCTTGCATGCTTAATTGCTTTGCCTGAAACAGAATAAATCCTTTATGAAAATAATCTGGTTTATGATAGATTTTCTGTTTGTACTTAATACACTGATAAAAGAACAAAGTCCCATATAAATTATTAGGTCAAGATTTTCAAAAGCATTTTCCTAACGCCAAGCTTCTAAAGCCATGTGTAGACACCTAAATAGGTAGCCTGATACTGGAAAGTGCTAAGAGCCCAGTAGCAAACTCTGACTTCAGTGAGAGCTGATGTATACTTGGCTATTTGGAAAATCAGGCCACTTCGATAGGTGCATAAATATAGATTTAGGAACCTAAATTTGACTCTGCCTCTTGACCTTTGGCTTCCTGGGTAGAAAAATGGAAAGGTGTAATTGTGACCATCACAAGTGGTCATTGAAGTGTAAGTAGCCAGATGAAATCGGGGGGAGGGATAGTCAGTGGTTTGAGCACTGGCCTGTTAAACCCAGGATGGTGAGTTCAATCCTTGAGGAGGCCATTTAAGGTTTAGGGCAAATCTGTCAGGGATGGTACTTGGTCCTGCTATGAGGGCAGGGGACTGGACTTGATGACCTCTTAAGGTCCCTTCCAGCTCTATGAGATGGTATATCTCCATTAAAAAAAAAATCTGTGACATCTGAGAAGATAAACCCTATGGCTCCAAACAACCTCATCAGTACTCAAGCTGAATTCCCTCCTCACTGGCTAAACAAAAGTCTGGTTAGAATTAGTTATCAGTCAGCCTTCTCCCTCCACAAAGACCCCAAACCCTCCTCTGAGACTTAACTCTCCCCTCTCATAAAACAGACCTCCCCCTTCTGCTAAAACCCCTGCACAACTTTTCTCTTTGGGATGAAATCCCTCACTTTTCCTCCTGCCAGCATGAATCCACATCAGTGTTTTCTATAAGCTGTCCAGGAGAAATTCAAATGCTGCCCCACTGATTAGCGGAGCTCCTGCCCACAACAAGTTTTGTTTCTCCTGCTGGCACACATTTGCACATGGCTCAGTGCACATAATTTATTTCAACGCATGGATGGAAAGGATTAGAGGGAACATTGATCCACATTACTTCCCGTCCCACCTTCTCCAAACCCCACAGCCATTTGCCTTTGACAGACCATTTCCCCTTCACTGATCCCCAGCCCTCTAGTTGTATTAAGGTCCCAAAGTGCAGAGTTGCATCACGTGGGCAGTGCAACCAGGAGATCACCAGGGCTTTCTGGCCATGATGACGTGGGGCATTTCAGAATCTCACTTGACATCCTCACTGCAAACTATCTTCATCACCACTCTTCTTGCACTCATGTCACATGGCCTTATCCTGGAAAGCCTCTTTGCAAACAGAGGAGTAACTTCTGTACAGAGAAGGGTCATACAAAACTGTCTCACAGCCTGCAACTTCTCTCACCTGTTTTAGTGTTTCCTCCTTTGTATGCTATTTGCCGAATAGCTTCCAGAAGAGTCTCTTTGGTTTTGTACAGATTCAGTTTAAATTCTGTCCTGGGATCATCACTGAACTGAGCGATTGCAACCTGTATACAGAAAACATGTTAATTAGTAACCACCGCTCAAAGCACGTGAGCTCATTTACATCAGAATTATTTGGACCTTTGCACTCTCCTTCACTTACAGCCATTTTTATTTGTTGATTTATTTGTTTATCTATTTTTTAAGATTTCACTATTTTGCTCTCACTATTTCACAGTTTTGTTCTCTGCAGCATTGGCTACTGGCTATCACTTTCTGGTTTCACTAGGTAGTAGACAGTTTTTCCACTTTGGCAAAAGAATTCCCTACCCAGCCCAAGGGCATAATCCTATACCAAGTTGCTCATATATGTAGTCAATCCCATACCAAGTTCATTCAGAAATAGTTGTCTATGAGTAACTGAGATTTGGACTGAAATTTAGGAAGTATTAGAAATAACATGAGAACCTATTATTCGGTTATCTCCTCTCTCATATATGCTGCTGTGTGCGAGTCCTGCCCTGCCTTAAATTAGGCATGAATTTCTGTGGGATTGGGAACTATGTTTAAAAAAAAATTGTGCTGATAGGAATAAAAAATTAAGAGGAAGTAAGAACCTAATCTTCTTCTATGTTTGGAAAGTGCCTAATACCTTTTGTGTGCTATTATATGTTAAATATTAAACAAAATTAACACAGCAATATTTACACTCAGCTGTATTTTTAAAAGGTTATAAAAGCTCTTCCTGAGCACGTTCAGTGTTTATCATCTTTTCCCGTACAAGTACTTTAAAACATGAGCATGGTAATTATTGTAAATATTGTGCTTTATTTTATTTCACATTAATGCTTAGTCTAGAGCAGATGAATTAAAAACTAAGAAAAAAATAAACTTACAATTTTTAATGTGAGTGAAGGCCAAGGATTGAAATAAACACCATACAAAGGGGCAGTACAAGGCCTAATTATTACTTAAATTGTGAGGACTTGAGAAAATTGAAATATTTTTAGGCATTGTGCTGTCTGTCTTGTATATCATCTCACCCTCTGGAATATATAAAATAAGATACTACAGAGGAACAGCTGCCAGAACTCAGTTTGTGTTTTCAAAAGAAGTGTAAACCACACTTTGATTGGTTCAGTTCTAGATACTAGATACAATTGTTTGGCTACTCTCTCTCTCTTTGTATTTATTACCTGAGTTCCATCAGGACCAATTCTGTCCAAAGCGCCAACTGTGCTGTACAGGAATCCAATTATTTTATTGAAATTGTCATCTCCAATACTCCATGACCCATCCACTAAAAACACGAGGTCAGCCTTGGCAGCTTTGCAAACTGAGGAGCAACAAATATTTTGGAAGTTACTTTTCGGCCATTGGTAACATCTTTGTTAATACTCACTAAAAAGGCCTCAATTTAGCAATTAGGTCTGCTGGCATGGACTCCCTAGTGCATCCAGAGTAAACAGGATTCTGCATGGGATGAAGCATCTACACTAGCAGATGTGACTATATATCAGATGTAAAGGTCCTAACGGTGCTTAAATATTTTGCTAAACATTTTAATTTTAAAATAATGAAGCACGCACATTTATACAAGGACACAATGAGTTGTTATAGAAGGTAACATTGTGAGGAATCCTCCATTCCCAGACTGTGTAACTGCTCTGCAGAAGCTCATCCAGCTGACAGACTTGAGTGAGCTCTGTAACTCCTGAGAGGTACAGGTAGCCAGTGCAAGGGAATAACGAGGAAACTTTCATTCCTTTACAGCCCAATACAAGCAAACAATCTGGCCTTGGGATCTCCTATTCCATGGCTACCTACTCCTGCAAGCTATTTGGTAGAAGGGCCCCATGGAGCTGAGGTCCAGCTCACAGAGGAGTTACTCCCTACAAGGTTCTTTGGAATCTACTCCCTAATTTGCACAGCAATTGCTTATGGCAAGAAAATGGGCATAAATTGAGGTTATCTCTGAATTTTGTTTTTACCCTGCACAGAAGAAATTCATCTAAGAGCTCATCTAGACTATGGGGAAGATTCAAAAGAGGATATGCAAATTCCCACGGAATTTGTATATCTTCTTCCAATCTTACTTTCAAAAGCAGAGCTTTAGAAAGTGAAAGTAGTCATGGTGCGTTTTTTCGGCATCCCCCCTTTTTTGAAATGCTGCGTAAACCTAATTTTTTTAGGAAAAGCAGCTTTTCGAAAAAGGGGAGAAAGATGCTGAAAAAAATGCCTCTTGGCTATTTTCCTACTCAGTGGTTTGAGCATTAGTCTGCTAAAACCAGGGTTGTGAGTTCAATTCTTGAGGTGGGCCATTTAGGGATCTGGGGCAAATCTGTCAAGAATGGTACTTGGTCCTGCCGTGAGGGCAGGGGACTGGACTCAATGACCTCCAGTTCTAGGAGATAGGTATATCTCCATATATTATTATATTCTATTTCTTGCAGATTTCAGCTGAAGTGTACTCATCTTCGGGTATATTTGCTGCCGAACAGTTCTATTAATTGCATAAGATCCCTTTCTTGCAGTATCTACAGAGGAGTTCCTCAGCTGGTTTAAAATGGCATAGCTCCACTGACTTCAAGTTGAGGAGCTGGCCAACAATAAAACACTCTGAACAGAAACATGTATGAGACTCTATATGAAACTCAGGGTCGAATATAGGAGATTAAGAAGCCAAAGGAAGCCTTTATTTAAACAGGAGAGTTGTGAGTATAGTACGTGCACATGACAATATTTGAGTGGACTAGACAAATCATGTTGTTTTATGAGTCTAACAACTTCTAGGATAGTGGTTTTAAACCTGTGCATTGAACTGTGGGGTTTGATGAGGGGATCTGTAGACTATGTCTAAGATTTTTAAAGAGGTCTGTGCCACCATTCAAAATTGTTTAGGGGTCAGCAAATGTTACCACTATTCTAAGTTATACACTGATCTACAGTCAAATTTGCCTGTTGACTTCTGTTGCAACATATTTAAAATGTGTTAATGATTGACCATTTATATGCTTTGCATAAATTTACCAAGTCCCCAAACAATAAAACACAATTTAGGGAAAGTTCGTCAATGCATGTAAATCAGCTCAGATCCATTAGTTTCCATGGAGCTACATCCATTTACACTAAATAGGAATCCAGCCCTGGAAATCCATAAAAGTGCTACATGAGTTCAGTCTATTTTAAATCTATAAACCCAACACTTATTTACCTTCTTTTGCCGGAGGGATTGTAGGAGGTGGAACTGTTGTTGAAGGAGGGGTCGGTGGTTGAGTTGGAAATGGTACTGGAAATTAAAAGAAAAGAACACCAAGGAGAAATCTTATCTGAAGACACTTTCACACATTTCCCAGTTATTTGAGGTAGGGCATTTTCTTCTTTTTTGTTTTGTTTGCAGGTATATACCTACACAGTTATGCAATCCAAAGGCCAGCATGGATTGATTTCATCTACTACTGCAGCTACTACCAACTAAGGCCTAAATTGTGGCTTTGCCACAATCTCCTTGTATGATACAGTGTGTTCTGCTGTCCCAGAAGTAGGGAAGCCAATTGTGACAAAGACACTTTCCCCTACTCTGACAGGACATATCTTGCACAGGCCATAGACTTGGTGCAGTGTCCATACCCCGTTGTGCTATGGATAATTCTCCTTTCCCTTCCTGATTTCCTCCCAACCTGGCCAATAAGAAAAGGAACAACTCCTCAAAGTCTGGTTTCCCCAGCATGTGTTATATACAGTACAGATAGCTAGCACAGGGAGAGGCTTTCCATCGCTGTACAGTCCTGTGTAGGCATGCAGAAGAAACAACAGTCTGGCCCTAAAGCAACTGTCCCTTAGCTCATCTGGTAGAGATTGGTGTTTTTTCAGCTGGAAATCAGATTTGTAGCTCTCTCTGTGTGTGTAATATTGAATCATTGTGCCTGTTGCTGCCTGCAGTGCATGATTTGTTACAAGGTTACTATGCACAAGGAAAAATCATGGAAAAACTATATTCCTTGTCTTTTACTTCATGTAAAGATGAGTCTCTAAATGGCATGCTCCCAGAAATGAGGCTGAACAAATCATTGGCTACTCACAGCTTTGCTGTGGTTGTGACAATGATTGAATAAAGAAGCTTTGTTAGCAAATTTCAATATAGTTTTAGGCTGAGTTCAGAGGTAACATGTAAATACTTGATTTCTACATTTATGACTGAGGAAAAATTCCCAGCCTTGTCAGTCAACATTCCTTCCAGTATTCTTGTAATGCACGGAACCACATCCGATGCAGTTAAATGTTGTTCCTTGGGGGAAAGTGTATTTGATATTCCCCACAATGTATACATTGTGTGTAAGGTTACAGGAGGTAAGGGCAGTTGCATAAAGCCGTCCTTCAGAAAGGATTACCAGAAAGACTTCAATATAAAGGGATTTGAACTCCACAGCTACATCCACTGGGCCCAATCTCACTCCCGGGCTGAAATTGCACATAGTGCTAGGATGGGTCAGGAGACGGAAGGGGAGGCACAGCTGGTGAGGGGCTTCTCCAGCAATATGGGGGATGGAACTGTGGGTGGCCTGGGGGTCCTCTGGAAGAGGGCTGGTGCTAAGGGTTTCTCCGGGCTTATGGTTCTGGCTGAGAGCAGGTAACAGGGGTCCCACTAAGTCTTCTGTCCTGGGGCCCAAAATTCCTGTCAGTGGACCTGGTTTAAAGTGAGATAGGGAGAAGAGAGAGTGGAAGCTGGGGAAAAAAGTGTTCTGTTTCCTTCCCTTCATCCTTTGTTTTGTCTCACTACATTGTAAGCTCATCAGAGCTGGAACCTGCCTTCTTCTATGCTTGTGAGGCATCTAGCTCACTTTACGCCCTTAGAGGAATAATAATGGGTACAATTTTCAAAAGAATCCCAGTGACCTACGAGCCCAAGTCCCACTGACTTTTGAAAAAAATTTCCAATGACAGCTTCAAAGATCTGAATCTTTCACTAGTTCTCTGTGTTTTGGACACTTGGTTTTCTCTGCTGTCCATGTTTTGAAATCCTCTTTAGTGAGTCATTGATTTTACAGCCAGAAGGGACCACTTGTGAACTGAGCTAAAACATCTTCTCCCTGCTTTGTTAGAGGGCCGTGTCTTCTACCCCATTCCTGTGTGTAGTTATTAGCTCCTGGGAGAAATGCATAGCTATGAGTGAGAATACTCTGGAAGAAGCAACCCTTTGAGCACAATTAGGAGAAGAATAATTAGAAGCCCCCCGTAAAAGAGTAAAAAAAAATTCCCAACCACCCTTTGGCCCCTGTGTGATTACTATACATTAGTTCCGGCCTCTTCCCTTACTAGTGAGGGGACAACCAACGGTGATCATGAGGTGGCTGAACTTTAAGAGACTTCACTTACATGTTGTTTCCATGATGCTTACTCCAGGGCCCTCTAACTCCTGAAGTTGTGCATAGACACTGACTTTATACTCAGTGCCAGGCGTGAGCTCAAAGAAGCAATGGCTAGGTGTCCCTCCACCAAGGATTACTTCTTTCTTTCTCCCATCTGGAATTACAAACCATTAGAACAGAATGTGATCTACCATTTTACAGAATGAATGTGTCATAGAATGGCCTGAATCTGGAAGGGAATGTGACAGGAAGTGAAGTGGCTATAGGAACGCTCTATTTATTAATTGTTTTGTGCCACATGCTGCCTTCAGTCTGGATGAAATTCATGCCTGTGCAGAAAGGCCCATCAAAAGGCCTGGGCACCATTTAATGCTCCTAACTCCCAATCAGGCCTGCTGGCACGGCAGGGCAGGGCAGGACAAAGGGGGCCATTGCCCCAGGGCCTGGTGATTCAAAAGGGCCTGGGGCTCCCGGCCGCCACCATTGAAACTGGCAGCGGCAATGCCCAGAGCCTTGGGCCTTTTAAATCCCTGCCAGAGCCCCACGCTGCCTGAGGAGAAGGGAGTACCACACGGCATGCTCCAGACAGCACTGAGAGCTGGCTGTGGGGAGGCTGCAGCCTGGGCGGTACTGAGGGCTGGCTGCCCCAAGCCCAGCCTCTTCTGACTGGGGCCACCTTTCTCTGCCCTCACCCCAACACACACACGTTGCCCAGGAGCCAGGGGAGGCTCTTGGCTCCCCTGCTCTCAATAGTGCTTATGTAGAATTCAAGTGGTGTCTCTGCAGATTCACTCCCTGTGCATTAAAGCCCTGATCCAAATGCTGTTTAAGTTCATGGGGATACTTACATTGACTTCAGTGGGCTTTGGATCAGGCCTTGAATGAATCACAGATGCCACTGAGAGTTGTGCTATATACTGGAATCAAATTTTGTTCTCAGACTGGGCATCTTGCTCTCATCTTGCATTCATTAAGTGCAGGAAGGACCTAAGCAGTAACATCTTTAATATTTACTGGGCTCTGAGGGGAATTTTGTTTAATTCTCAACTGGAAGAAAGAATGACTATATGGGCATTGGAGAAAGGGTGGGTACTGAAAACTAACTGATGGATGTCTTAATAATTAACATAAAGCATTTGACAGAAGTAAGCATCCGTAAGAGAAAAAGGAGAGTTACAGGGAAATGAAAGCAAGTATACTACACATTCTATGCAGTATTCATTAACCATGCCAATAAGTCCCGTTTGTTGCCAAATAAAAACCATTTTATGCATATCAGACTGAGTAGCAATACTATGAAGATAATTGACAACTGGTTGAACAAGAAGCAGAACAAGCTGGACAATGAAAGCTCTTCATGACAGATATTAACAAGGAGCTCTTTTGTTCTCTCTCAAATTAAGGCTTTCAGGCTAGGTTAAAGATATGTCTGGCAGTGCTACATAATAATGAATAGGCACCAAGGAAGCAGAATTTAGGCTAATTCTCAGGTAAGAACGAAATTTGCACGTCTTGTGCCAAAAAAGATCTTTACTTTAAAACAATTTGTCTGTATTTCAGGCCTTCAGATAAACCTTATCTGAATCCATCAACTGTACAATACAACGGTCACTATCTGACAATCAAATTGGCACCTACAGTCCATGTTGTCTTTGGTTAACTTGATTAAGTCTTACTAGCTGCACTTCTCAAGTTATTCAAGGTTTTCAAGGGTATCATGTTATGAAAGCTAATTGTTTTTCATCATAACAAGGCAGTGAGTTTCTACCAGGGATGAGCAAATTAGTCTGCATACATTTATAGCTCACCCACCCACCCCAATCCTTACCTGAATAAGATAAAGTCCACTGAACTTCCATCATAGGGCTTTTCCCTAAACAGGCATGGTTGACTGGCATTATGAGATCTAAGTGGATAGATCCACTCTATCATCTGGGTCTTTATGAAGTAACCAACTGAACCAGATTGCTGGCACTTAACATTAAAAAAGTTGTAGAGCAGTTTTTAAACGAAGGGCTGGGGGGAAAGGCGACAGGTGAGGAGCACATGGATTGTACAGAGACATCTCTTAGAGGAGGGTTTATTAATAGAGATTCTCTAGTAAAGAGGAGAGAATGGAAGATGATAAAGTATGGGTAAGATCAGATCTGAAATAATCAAATAAAAAAAGAGTCTAACACATCAGGAAATGGCAGAGAAAAAGTGACGTTTTTAAATTGCTTATACACAAACGCGAGAAGTCTAATAAAAAGATGGGTGAATCAGAGTGCCTAGTAGTAAAGGAGGATATTGATATAATAGGCATCACGGAAACTTGGTGGAATGATGATAATCAAGGGGTCACAATCATACCAGGGTACAAAATATATCAGAAGGACAGAACAGGTCATGCTGGTGGGGAGTGGCACTAAACATGACAAAAAAATTAAAATCAAATGAAGTAAAAATCTTAAATGAACCAAAATGTTTCATAGGGTAGTAATTCTATACTCGAATAAGAATATAGCAGTAGGGATAAATTATCGACCACCTGACCAGGACAGTGATAGTAACTATGAAATTCTAAGGGAAATTAGAGAGGCTATCAAAATAAAAAACTCAATAACAGTGGGGGATTTCAGCTATCCCCATATTGACTAAGTACCCGTCACCTCAGGTCAGGATGCAGAAATAACATTTGATGCCTTAAATGACTGCTTCTTGGAGTAGCTGGTTCTAGAACCCACAAGGAGAAAGGCTATTCTTGATTTAGTCCTAAGTGGAGTGCAGGATCTGGTCCAAAGGGTAAATATAACTGGAAATAGTGACCATAATGTAATAAAATTTAACATCCCTGTGGTGGGAAAAAGACCTCACTAGCCCAACACTGTGGCATTTAATTTCAGAAAGGGGAACTACCCTAAAATGAGGAGGTTAGTTAAAGAGAAATGAAAAGGTACAATGACAAAAGTAAAAACCCTACAAGCTACATGGAAACTTTTCAAAGACATCATAATAAAGGCCCAACTTAAACGTATCCCCCAAATTAAAAAACACATAAAGAGAACCAAAAAAGGTGCTACTGTGGCTTAAAAACCAAGTAAAAGAAGCAGTAAGGGATAAAAAGACATAGTTTAAAAAGTGGAAGTTAAATCCTAGTGAGGAAACAAAAGTAACAAATTGTCAAATTAAGCGTAAAAATACAACAAGAAAAGCCAAAAAGGAGTTTGAAGAACAGCTAGCCAAAAACTCAAAAAAATAAATAGCAAAATGTTTTTTAAGTACATCAGATTCAGGAATCCTGCTAAACAACTAGTGGGGCCCCTGGATGATTGAGATGCCAAAGGAGCATTCAAAGACAATAAATTAATTGCAGAGAAATTAAATGCATTTTTTGCTTCGGTCTTCATAGCTGAGGATGTTAGGGAGATCCCCAAATCTGAGCCATTCTTTTTAGGTGACAAATCTCAGGAATTGTCCCAGATTGAGGTGTCATTAGACTTAACAGTAACAAGTCACTGGGTCCAGATGGCATTCACCCAAGAGTTCTGAAATAACTCAAATGTGAAATTGCGGAACAATTAACTGTTCAGGAATCCTGCTAAACAACTAGTGGGGCCCCTGGATGATTGAGATGCCAAAGGAGCATTCAAAGACAATAAATTAATTGCAGAGAAATTAAATGCATTTTTTGCTTCGGTCTTCATAGCTGAGGATGTTAGGGAGATCCCCAAATCTGAGCCATTCTTTTTAGGTGACAAATCTCAGGAATTGTCCCAGATTGAGGTGTCATTAGACTTAACAGTAACAAGTCACTGGGTCCAGATGGCATTCACCCAAGAGTTCTGAAATAACTCAAATGTGAAATTGCGGAACAATTAACTGTGGTTTGTAACCTATCCTTTAAATCAGCTTTTGTACTAAGGACTGGAAGATAGCTAACGTGACATCAATATTTAAAAAGGGCTCTAGAGGTGATTCTGGCAATTACAGACTGGTAAGTCTAACGTCAGTACTGAGCAAATTAGTTGAAACTATAGTAAAGAATAAAATTGTGAGACACATAGATGAACATAATGGCTATGTCTAGACTGGCAAGATTTTCCGCAAATGCTTTTAACGGAAAAGTTTTCCGTTAAAAGCATTTGCGGAAAAGAGTGTCTAGATTGATCTAGATACAGCCAATTTGTTGGGGAAAGTCAACATCGTTTCTGTAAAGGGAAATCATGCCTTACTAATCTACTAGAAAAACTTAAACAATGAATAGTCTTGCAGCACCTTAGAAACTAATAAAACATATAGATGGTATCATGAGCTTTTGTGGCTACAACCCTCTTCTTTCCGAAAGCTCACGATACCATCTACATATTTTGTTAGTCTCTAAGGTGCTGCAAGACTATTCGTTGTTTTTTAAGTTCTTCCAGTTACAGACTAACTTGGCTACCCCTCTGAAGCTTTTAATTTACTAGAGCTCTTTGAGGGGGTCAACAAACATGTGGACAAAGGGGATCCAATGGATATAGTATACTTAGATTTCCAGAAAGCCTTTGACAAGGCCCCTCACCAAAGGCTCTTAAGTAAAGTAAGTTGTCATGGGATAAGAGGGAAGGTCCTCTCATGGACTGATAACTGGTTAAGACAGGAAACAAAGGGTAGGAATAAATGGTAAGTTTTCAGAGTGGAGAGAGGTAACTAGTGGGGTCCCCCAAGGGGCCATACTGGGACCAATCCTACTCAATCTATTTATAAATAATGTGAAGAAAGGGGTAAATAGCGAGGTGGTAAAATTTGCAGATGAGTCTAAACTGTTCAAGCAAACTGTGAAGAGCTTCAAAAATCTCATAAAACTAAGTGATTGGGCAACAAAATGGCAAATGAAATTTAATGTTGATCAATGTAAAGTAATGCACATTGGAAAAAAATAATCCCAACTATACATACAAAATGATGGGGACTAATTTATCTACAACTACTCAAGAGAAAGATCTTGGAGTCACTGTAGATAGTTCTCTGAAAACATCCACTCAATGTGCAGTGGCAGTCAAAAAAGCAAACAGAATGTTAGGAATAATTTAAAAGGGGATAGAGAATAAGACAGAAAACATCTTATTGTCTCCACATAAAACCATGGTACTCCCATATCTTGAATACTGCATACAGATGTGGTCACCTCATCTCAAAAAAGATATATTGGCATTGGAAAAGATTCACAAAAGGACAACAAAAGTTATTAAGGGTTTGAAATGGGTGCCATATGAGGAGAAATTAAAAAGACTGGGATTTCTTAGTTTAGAAAAGAAGAGTCTAAGGGGGGATATGATAGAGATATATAAAATTATGACTGATGCGGAAAAATGAATAAGGAAAAGTTATTTACTTGTTCCCATAACATAGGAACTTGTGGTCCCCAAATGAAATTAATAGGTAGCAGGCTTAAAACAAACAAAAGGAAGATTTTCTTCACACAGTGCATGGTTGGCCTGTGGAACTCCTTGCCAGAGGAGGGTGTGAATACCAGGACAGTAACAGGGTTCAAGAAAGAAATAGATAAATTCATGGAGGTTAGGTCCATCAATGGCTATTAGCCAGGATTTGTAGGAATAGTGTCCTTAGTCTCAATCAGAGGCTGGGAATGGGTGACAGGAGAGGGATTACTTGATGATTTCCTGTTGTTTCACTCTGTCTGGGGCACCTGGCATTAGCCACTGTCGGAAGACAGGATACTGGGTAGATGGACCTTTGGTCTGACCAGGTCTGGCTATTCTTATGTTCACTGCTTCCCATCCTCCATTCTCTTGGGAGCCAGCCTGTACGTCCATTCCCACACAATTCAATGGGCTGGAAGCAGCAGATAAGGAACCTATAGGAGTGTTTCTATATCTTTTTTGGTACAGAAGGTGACTCAGTTGGGGACTGGAGAACAATGGGTTTGAAGAGATGACATTGAGGATGGACAGCTGTATCTTAAAATGCTTTGGGGGGGGGGGTAGGGGGAAGGAGAAGTCTCTTGGATCTCCTGCTAGATACAACGTAGTATCTGGTAGGGGTGAGCTGGACCCTGTGTAGTTACAGAGAAAATCACAAAGCTGTGTGGAAGAGGCATCTGCAAATTTGAGGGTACAGGGCTTTAAATGGCTCAGATAATGTGGGAAAGTATCCAAGCTTTTATTTTAAGGTATCCAAGTTTCCAAGATTTTATTTATTACTCTAATGCCAAATCTTTTGTGGCTCATTCATTTCCAGTTTCTGTATAGTTCTGCTCTTCTCTGTTTATTTTAAACACTGCCATTCAAGTGCTTTTTCAATTTTACTATTTGTAGGAGTGAAAATTTTGTTTGCAAACTTCATTTAAATCCAATCCTGTGGCTCTCTACAAACAGAACTCCAATCGACTTTAAAGCAGGGTGAATATGGAACAATGCGCTAACTTACCAACAAGAGATTCTACAACTATCCTGTATGCAGTAGCATGTCTGTGAAGCTGCCACTGAGCACAAATACTAGTCATGCGCACTTGATATACATCCAGATTTGTCACGCCCAGGTACACTGCAATTGAATATAGAAACAAATAGAGTCACTGCTACAATAAAAATGCCAGGACGCAAGAAAATTCTGCAATATACTTATCCGAAAATCAGAAGAAAAAGTGAAAAAAATGTGTGACTACTTTTATTAATGAATTTTAAAGAAAAAATTGTAATGCAAAAGCCTGCAACAAAACTAATGCCAAAAAGAACATCTAATAAAGGAAAGAAAGCAGAAAGATGGCATTTAAAACTTAGTCCACAGATATGAAATTTGAGAAGGGCCAATAAACAGTGTTAATAATTCACATAAAAGTAAAAGCGGTATTGATGTAACAATACTGCTGTCAAAGCTGAATTTAAGGTTAAAGTTTCCATGATGTACAGCCTAACTCAGATGATTTCAAGGGATTGCCTGACCAGAAAAAAAGAAAACAGACTTTTATTATGCACGTTTATAGTTACTAGAGTTGAATGATAAGAAACGATATCAGCTTTATGACTCCAGCAGGAAACATTTTAAAACTTTATACTGTCTAATGAAAAAAGGCTTTCCTTTTTTCAGCAAACAACTAGCTCAAAATACATGGAAGAGAAAAATAATTCCATTTGAGGATTCATTCAGGGACTTGTGGGAAGCTAAAGTTACAATGGAAAAATGGTTTGCAGAGATCTGAGCAGCATGAAATCATTCTTACATGTTTTGGCTGTGCCTGTAAGGGCATCACTGAAGCCTGTTGAGTATGAAGCAAATACTTTAACACTATAGTCAGTTCCACTGAACAGATTTAGAACGAGAATGGTGTTAATGTCGTCTCCCACGAATGTTTCTAGTGCTGGTCCAGGGACTGAAAAAAAAAGGAGAATATTTTGTAATTAAAGAAATTAAACAAAAATAATAATCTGCAGTCAAAAATAGGTTTATTCCTATAAATATAGGTTGTACCTCTCTAAACCAGGACTCTCTGGTCTAGCAACATCTGTGATCCAAAAGGACAATAGATGTTCCTGGACAAGAGAGCTCAGGGCAGGGGAGTTTGGCAGCATGGTCGGAAGTCCCGTGGCAGTGGGGTTGGTGATGCAGATGGGAACCCCATGTCAGGGAGGCCCTAAAACCCTAATTTAGACTGTTGTGATGCTGGGAGCCCCATGGTAAGGGAGGGCAGTGTCTGGTAGGCCTGGCGAACTCCAGAAGCAAAGCAGCTAAAGGCAAGGGACCAATCGGGACTGGAAGCAGAGATGGAGTCAGGAAGCAGCAGCATGTTAGGGGGTCAGTGGCAAATTCCTGGTCTGGCAAATTCCCTCATTCGGGACCAGTCAGGTCTCGAGACTGCTGGATCAGGGAGGTCCAACCTGTATTACTTTATTATTACTTGCTTAGCCCCAGTGGTGCCCTCAGTGCTGTACATGAAATTGGAGACACTCCATAACCAGAACAACTTACAGTCTAAGACAGAGACGTGGAAGCCAGCACATACTGAGGAATCCAGATGTGGAATTCATCTAGGACTCAACACTGGCACTTGCTAAGCCTGTTTTGTGCTTCTCCAGTGGAACAAAGGGGACTCATCACTACCCTACATACGCAGCTAAAAATTCCCTTGGCTTGGAATCATAACAGGATCTGAGGATCCCCACCCACCAAACAAGTCCCTGCAGGGCTATTGCAAACCCACATCATTTAAAACAGTTCAGGCTGCTCTAAACAATGCTAGGAACAGTGTAGAACTGGCACCAGGATAAGAGCTGCAAACATTGCTTCTATCATAACAGTACTCACTGCCTACAGTTTAAGATGCAGTATAGAATTCAGCCTTCGGAGTGTTTTTCTTTTTAATTTTTATTTCCTCTCCATTACAGTAGTAAACTCAGTTCTTATGGTCATCATGAAATAAATGTTTCTCAGATGGGTTTGAATGAGGGAGTGGCTTGGCCAAGTGTGAATTGTCTTAAGTTAGGTATCTACAGTACAATATCCAAAAATTAATGCATCCCAAATTACAAGGTACTTTGAAAAATTGGGTCAAAATCTCTGGGAACGATTTTGAAAATGTATCTTGATAGGCTTTCAGAGTTTCAGTTGCATCAGTTATAGCTTTTTTTGTTTTAAGTGTGACTTTTAGCAATAGAGATGAAAATTGAAGAAGTAAAAATAAAAGTCAAAGCAACTAGTTTTGCAAACTCACTATTGATAGGTTTGTAGACAATTCTGTAGCCCATTGTTGGTGATGGAGGGGCATCCCAGCTAATACGTATGCGGTTGTACCATTCATCTGAGACCCTTAAATTTCTGGGGGCAGAAAGAGGCACTAAAAGCAAAACAAACTGTGAGCTTCCTTATCTGCATTCATTACAAGCACCAGTATAAAATATAGACATGCATATAAAAATAATAACCCAGATTACACATAACTCTACATAAAACTACCAATTCTGCCCTCAAGTGCACAGGCACTACTCTCAAAAGTCCAGAGGAGCCATGTGTCTGCGAGAGGATCTGGGCCTGTTGAATCATAGCAAGGAGTTATATCAAGGATTAATTTGGACTGTTGTCGCTATCAAATAAGTATTGTAATTTCAAATCAATACTCCGTGATAATTACCTTTCATGTGTATATTTCCTTTCAACTCAAAAGCATCCCCAAGTGCTTTACAAATTTATGCCTTGATTCTGCAAATGCTTATGCTTGTTAAACTGAAGTCAATTGGACTTACTTAAAGCTAAGTTATGTATGTAAGTGTTTGAAAGTGATATAAAAATTATGTACAGAGATATCATCCACTGCTGATATACAGGCACCTATCAGGTGGGATATACCAGCTGTTTAGCAGGTTAAATTTGGTTAGAAAGAATGTAGTGACCTATATTGGCATGTTGGTATAACTAATGCAACAATTATTTTAAAAAGTTCAACAAGGTCTTTAACAAATGCAAATGGTGAGGATCTTTTGAAAAAAAAATCTCATTCAAAAGAACTCTCTCCAACATCATAATGCTTGGGACATTGATTTGTCACTAACTAAAACTAACTGAACGTCACCTGTGGCATCATCAACATCACTTCTTACAGAACTTAGAATCTTCGGTAGACTTCCAAACCAAGAAAGGATTGGCTTTGCTCCCACTGAGTTTCTGCTGACAGTGCCACAGCATACAATGAAACTTGATTTAAAAACAATCAGATGTTTCAGTCAATGCAGTGGGACAAATATAAAATTCCATCTTTAAATTGAACACGTTTTAATTTGAACTAAAACATCTGCACAGACTGAGATAACAAAACAAAACAAACCATTCTTACTCAGACCCTCCTGCCTGATAAGAAACAGAATGTTTGTACTTACAGGTTTTTCCAGGAGCTGAGAGACTAACTCCTTCCCCATCAGAATAGATGGGAGTGACAGTAACTTTGTATATGGTATCCGAGAGCAGTGGCTGAAGAAGAAGATTGTTTTGTCTTCCAGGTACTATTACCTGTATGGTCAGAACAACAAAAACAGACAAGGTTTTTTTTAGGTTCTTAAATCCTTTTATAAACACGTATGATCTCTGCCATTATATACTTCTCTCACTTCTGTTCAGCAGTTTGTTCCTAATCGCTTGGTTTACATTTTAAATATGATGGTATGCTTTATTGCTGACATGTACCCTCCCTAAATAATCAGTGGACCTGTTCACTGTACGTATCCAAGAAAGCAATGTACAGAAAGAAACTGCCTATGATAGACAGCTAGATCTGCATGTATGAGCTATCATTGTGTAGTAAATCTCTGAGTCAATATTACTTTCAAATATCCTTTAGATCAGTTATAGTAATCAGAATATTATAATTAGTGTATGATTAGTATATGGTATATAATAATATAATTATAATTTGTTATTCTTATATATTATTATTCATTATTATAGTAATCAAATATTCCTTAGATCAATTATATTAACTGCATGGTTATTATCCAAAGAGTGGTTTCACTATAAAGGCTAGGGAGATATTTTGGTTACTCTTGGTCTAAAAAGGGATTGCCCAACATTGTAGATTCTAAGTAAGGCCCATCTAGATGTAATAAGGATTGTTCTTTATTCTATGAAGCACTTAAACACAAGTTTTAGTCTAACCTCAGTGGGACTAAAGCACTTGCTTAAGTGCTTTGCTGAATCAGGACCAAAATGCGAGGTCCTGAAGCTTTATCATTTACTTTTATGGGCATGTGATCCAGCTCAAAATTCATAAATCTTTTTAACAGCTAGAGATTTTATATCTCTACTAACATTTTCTTTTATTTTAAAAATAATAATCAATCACTGACTATTAAAAACAGAGACATATATATATTATCTAATTGCTTTGGTTTAAGCTTTCACTGACCTGAAAAAAATAAATCTGGGATTTGAATTTAAGAAACTTCTGGCTATATCAGATGAAATAGAAGATTGCCCATTTTGCTTTATATTTTAGCTATTGCCATGGACTATGGTATCATATGTGCTATATAGATCTATAAAGCTTTTGGTACAGCCACAAAAGAAACCACTTTATTTCAATGGTTAAGTTTAAGATAATGGTTTTGACATCAAAGATGCAGCAAAAAAATCATTTTCTACAAAAGCTTATAAAAGATGGATGAAACTGAAAAGAAACAATTACATGATTCATCTTTTAGTAGAAAAAGATATTCAAGTAGTTCTTTGCCTCACTTATTGATATAGACAGAAAAATAAAATGGAAAAAAATGGAAATGTAGACTCCAGGGAATATGAAAATATATCCAGTATGCCGAATCCATTTTTGAAACACAAATAGGAGTAAACTGCATGACTGAAAACCCCATCAGATGACAGAATGCGAGTGAAGGAAGCTCATACATGAAATAACACACTTACATTTTGAAGTAATAACTTGGAGACATCAGCCTGTATGATACATTTTGCTCTATTAGTTGTAAAACCCAAAACTTCAATATTTGACTTCAATAGGAAAGTCAGGGGTACATTATTGACAAACCTATGCACTCAAAAATCATTACTCAGCCCCCAAATCTTATGCTACCTCTGGGCTTGATTTCCTAGCAACCCAGTAAGCTCAGCTGGGCTCAATAAACCCCGAACTACCTAGTTCGTGCCGCGTCTAGCGGACATTTAAAAATGGCGGCGCCCGGCAACATGCAAATGAAGCCCTGGAAATTCAAATCCCGGGTTCATTTGCAACTCCGGTTGACTACATTGCCACCCGAGTTCGAACTAGGGTGGTAGTGTAGACATACCCTTAGGCCCTAATCCTGTATTTCACATTGCACTGGTAGATTGCTGCACCTGCATGGAACAGTTTGAATAGGGTTCTGCACAGACACAGCAGTCTGCCTACCCTGCGTTAATTGAAGGATTAGAGACCAAGGTTTTGTCTACTCTGCCAATTGAGTGACAAAACTTCTGTCATTCACACACGCTTTAACCCCACTTCTTCTGAAAGACAAAAGTTTTGCCAAGGCAAGTGGCCATGTAAATGGCTCATTGTCGGCAGGAGTGTTCTTCTGTCAACAACGCAAACCCCTCTTCTAAAGGGTAGAAGTATTTTGTCAGCAAAAGTGCTGACAAACAGGGTTTATACTGCCCAACTTTTAGTGATATGGCTGCTGCAGCCATTCCATACACAGGTCGTCCACTGACTTCGACACAGGATAGGTGTAGGATTGAGCCCTTTTTTTATACTAACCAAACTTTCACAGATCCTATTAAGTCATGCTAAAGAAACCATACAGACCATTCTTACCACTTCCTCAGCACGGTCGCCTTTACTAGTGAGGTAGGTCACTCTGAACTGGTGAACATTGTAGTCTGAAATGTCCCATTTCACTCTCAAGCTTGATGTTGTTTCATCATCTATAACAAGGTTTCTGATTCCTGTTCGAAAAACTACAAACAAAAAACAAATGTAACTCAAAAGACTATGTCACAGATCCTATTTGAAGCATGCCTTTTGAAGTGTGTCACTCAATGATATTTTGCATTAATTATCACCAAACAACAACAGCCACACCACATTTCTATAGAAATAATTATGGGGGTTTGCCATGTATTTCAATAAGAACAGAACTAAGCCCAAAAATGCTACCAGGAATGAATGGATACTGATCTTATGGAGCAATGACTATTATATAGCTGTCCCCTACAGTTTTATTTATTTATAATGCACCTTTCCTTGGATCTCTAAGGGCTTTAGAATAGTTAGCCACTTAATTGACTCTTTCAATAAGCAATTTCCTCCTTCTTTGTCTCTTCCTCATCCCCTCGCCCCACCTTCTGATTCTATGTAGCTGATTCGTTACTGTATAATTTGTTTACTTCTTCATTGTATCCCTCTCTTACATAATGGTCATGCCAATTCACTTTCAGAATATGATCTGAAGAAGTGGGTATGCCCCACAAAAGCTCATCACCTATTAAACCATCTTGTTAGTCTTTAAGGTGCTACATGACTGCTTTTTTTGTTTTACCAAGATCAGACTAACATGGCTACCTCTCTGTTACTTTACACCCGTATAAAAGCTCAGTGTGCCTTGACAGACAAGTAAATTGTCTGATTCTTGGTTTTTTGTACAGGGCCTAAAGCACTTTAGAATACATTTTATTGACATTCATTTCTTTTACCTGCTGTTGTGGGTCTAGAGGTTGCAGTACTACTAGTAGCAATGCTGGTAGATAGTGTAGTAGTCCCTGCAACTGAAAAATAATATACTATTAATTAACATTTCAGAAAGATCTGGAAGCCATTTGAGTACTCTTTTAATGACAGTAATGGAAATATTAATATTTTCTGATATTAATAACTATGATGCTGAGCCAACATTCCTTTATGCACCCATTTAATTTAAGAAAATTAGTCTTTTCAAGAGCACTACATTCAATGTATAAGAAGTTATTCTGAAGAGAATGAAACCAGGAACGTGGAAGGCATCATGTTCAATTAGAAGCAACAGAGATATTTATTTTTATTTGACAGTGATATTTATATTCAGCTGTGCATCTGGGAATACATACATGCAAACATTCTATAGAGTCTATACTCTAAATACATTCTTATAAGACGAATATCTACTTAAAGCAATATGAACACATATATGAAATGGTCTGGTCTCCAGCTTTGAGTTTGTCAGTTCTTAGCTAATGTCTGTAGCCTGACAAGAGCTGGCACCTGGCCTGCTAATGTCACAATGGGCTTGGTGCAGAAATCATTGGATGAGAGTCTGTGGCCTGTGTAATACAGGAAGACAGACTAGCTGATCTTAGTGGTCCTTTCTGGCTTTAATATCTATTAATTCTATCAGTTCAGGATTGGGGCATATTGGAGGCTTTGCATGGTTACGTTTTGCATTGCTGCTTAAATTCAAAGAGGACTTTTGGACTTGGAGGCTGAATGAAAGAAATAAAACAAAGATGCAGGAGAAAAAAATCCTTTTTTTTTTTCTGTATGAACTCTCCTAGGGTCAGAGGCAACAAACCAAAAGCCAGAGATTCTCAAGGGTCTATCCTGAAATACACTGAATTGACAGCTCACTACAACTCAGCCATTCTTATGATTTATATTACAGCTCATTTGGGTCTGCTAGCTTTAACCTGTAAATAAGTCTCTTATTTCTTTTTCCTAGTTAATAAATCTTTAGATAGTTCATTACAGGATTAGCTATAGGTGTTGTCTTGGGTGTGATTGGTCTCTTGGGACTAAAAGCAACCTGAATACTGTGTGATTTTAGTGATCATTTATCACAAATTCCAGTTTGTCTGGATAGTTGAGAGATTGTGGAATCTAAGGAGACTATATGTGACACTATGCTAGAGTCTATGGTAAGACTATTATAGTGATCCAGAATGTCACATTTGTTTTTGGCTTGGTAAAATCTAATTAAAGAGCATACAACCAGCCTGGGGTGTCTGCCCTGTTTTTGACAGTCTACCCTGAGGCGAGCCACTCCCAACAACATGACATCAATGTCTTCTTTTTGAACAATAGAAAGACATACAGAAAGACAAAGATTTAAAGACTTCTCCCCTGGCTAAATTGTTCCGATGATTAATTACCTTCAATGTTAAAAACCTGCACTTTATTTCTAGTCTGAAACGTGTTTTTATTAAAATATTTAATTCCAAAATGAAATCAACTATAGCTTTTAATTACACATCTTGCCCCAGACTAAATATTATCACCTAGGACCAAAGAATGTTAAATAATCTGTGAGCCAAAGATGTGTAACCTGAGATAGTCTAATACTGCCTAAAATGGGAGGGCAGCCAAACCTTTACAGGCTGGAAGCATTCAACTACTCTATATTAAATAAAAACACACACACAAATGTCTTCAAAGCCTTCATAATAAATCATTGGATTTTTTAGTGTTAGAAGCTCCCCAATGTTTATTTTAGTTAGCTTCATACATTATACTTTAAAGTAGCTAAAGCTCTTTCAAACAATACAAACATTAGTTTTTGTCTTACGTGTTGTTCCAAGAACAGCAACAACATCACTTTCACTTTCATCACTGTAAACTGCCAGCAAAGAAACTTCATACTCCGTATTGGATAACAAACCCTCAACAACATGTGTGTCCTTGTCTCCACTTAAAACAACCTAAAAAAACAAGAGCAAAAACTAGAGAGACCATTTTTTTAAACTGTTGCATTTGATTAACTTTATAAAAAAAACTTTATTGAATTTCAGGAATGATAGAATTTCAACACCTAAAATCTACAGTCTGATATGCCATATTTTTCACTAACAATTTGTTCAGTTCATAGATTGAGATTAGAGTTATTCTGCTCCAGTTTTACTGTTCTGCCATGTAACCTTATACGGTGACCAATACGAATAACTTTAGCTTATAGTTAAGGTTGATCAAGTTTGTTTAATTTGAAAGCAACCACTAAAACTCAAGGAACTGAAACCTTGGATTCCTAACTCAAACAAGCACATCGGTCAACTCAGCAGTCTTGTGACACAGATCATGGTGTGTATAAGAGGCAGGAGAAAGCAATGCCTTCCCAAACTGCCTGGCTGGCCCCACACACACTATGTCCCCCTCTCCTCCACCTATTCAGTGTGGCTCCCCCAATCTCCTGGACTTCAAGCCTGCCAAAGCTGGAGCCCTGCTGCCAACCCACTGAGGATCGGGGAGCCTGGGACTGTCCACACTTCCCATGCTCCGGGAGAAGTGCCAGGAGTAGGCTGCAGGCCCGGGATGGGTTCCACCAGCACTCCCAATGCTCTGGGAGGAGGGGAAGGCCAGGGGAAGGCTGGGGCCAAGTGCCTCTTGCCATCTCAGTGCGCTGGGGTGGGGGCAGGGCTATGGGCTGCCCATGCTCAGGGGATCCTGTTCCTACTGTTGGGGGGCTTGGCTCCCACAGGGGCCAGGAGTAGCAAGGGTGGGGTATTGGGCAGAAGAGGCAAGGCTGAGGGCTTGCCTCCCCCAGTCCTACATTCACCCACTGCCTGTGTCATAGACCCTTTCAACTCCAAAGAACACCATCCACAAAACACATATCCAGTTCCTCGATGTTTTCCTCAATCACAGAACTTTTGCTCTAATCTCCACAAAATTAAGGTACTTGAGCAATATATATACTTGTGGTTGAAAAGCCAAAAATGTGTTATTGCAATCTAAGAAAATATCAGGCCAGAGTTCAGAGTCTGTGTTTGTGTGAGAATTTGAGGAATTGAGGGTTTTGTAGAAGGGAAATCAAATGTAGTTTTTTGTTGCTGAATTGAAGATTACGTGAGCATCTTACCTGAGCTGTACTGAAGATTACGTGTCTTAAGTAGTGATCCTCTTATTTTTAGTGATTGCACTGGCAAGGAATGCATTTGAACAACATTAATTGTGTGTTTTTGTGAGGGGATTTTCCTGTTTCTTCATGTTTAAAAATGTAATGGGAAGTATGTAATTTTTAAAAATGTAATGACAGACAGTCGGTGCAGGATGACTGAGAGATGGGGGCAGCGGGGAAGGAGACTTTGTGCGTGTTCCCCTCTCCCCCAGGCCAATCAGGGTTTGGGGGCGAGGGGAGAGCATGAAGTCTCCTATCACCCTGCAAGGGTGACTTAAAAGTCAACTGCCAGGGGCTGCGCAGTTGGCGGTTGACTAAGCACAGCGTTCCCTTGCAGAGTGGGGGTAGGGAGTGAGAGACTTCACATGCTCTCCCTCCCTAGGCCCTGATTGACCTGGGGATAACAGGAGGGAGCACGCCAAGTATCCTCCCACCGCCAGGGGCATAGGTACCTAGAGGGAACTGCCAGCTGTTCAGAACAACTGGAAGTTCTCTCTGGGGAGGTCAAAGACTTTGCATCCTCTCCCACCCCCAGACCAATCAGGGTCTGTGGCTGGGTAAGCATGGAAGTGTCTTGGCTCTGCCCCTTCCGCCTGAGGCCCCGCCACTTCTGGGGCAGCCCAGGGCTACTTCATAAATTTCTGAAGTGGCCCTCAGTCAAAAAATTATTATCCACCCCAATCTAAGGGAAAACAAAACCACCCCTGTAATGAGAACCAAGCAAAGCTGTTTGTTCAACATACAATGCTTTTGGAGTGCTCAATCAGCACAATATACTATGCACAAATCACATGCAATGTGAACATTTCTTAATAAACAAAGAGGCGCAGATCCAAGAAAAATTTGCTGTGGTGGCTAGTAGCCCACAAAACGAATCACAGACTTCTTGGACTCTGCAGAAATGGAAGCTGTTCCCAATTCAGCATGGAATGGATCTGGTCTACCAAAGCCACAGAATGCCAAGCTGGCACGCTGCACAACACACTCCGTGGCACAGATACCTTTAGGCAAAATTCAGACATAAGTCTGAATGAGTCTACATGGAGTCTAAGCTGGTATAACCAACATCCTCTTCCAGCTTCCCCACTCATCCATAATACTTGTCTAACCGAGACAACTAACAAGCCAAAGGGCCAGAGAGAATATAACTAGCAAATGAACTAATTGGAGAGTGTAACAATGTATACTCCTTATTCTTATATACACACAAGGAACTATCCTTGATCGTATGGATTTTAAATCTTATTCTAACTCTCTGGGTAAGTTACGCCATCCTAGACTCTGGTACACGTTGGGTGTACGGTGTTGTAAGTTAGGTCTTATCCATCACTCCCTGAATTTGGCTTCATAATTATACGCAGTTAAATGGCAGCAGCTCTTGGTGGTGGACATGTTGTATTAGTGGATACCTGATGAGGCAGTTGGGGAAGCAGTTTAAAGAGTCAGCAGCCTGGAGGTATTGTGCTATTCTTGGCCTGACCCCATTATAAAGGTAAACTGAGAAGAACAAGAAAGGAGCCTGGGCCATTTTCAATATTTTCAAATTTAAAAACATTGGAGATCTCCAGAATTATTTCACTAGGAGGGGCTGAAACACTGGAGTGAGTTATCTATGGAGATGGCAGAATCTCCATCCTAGGAGGTTTTTAAGGCCTGGCTTGACAAAGACCTGGCTGGGATGATTGCATTGGGATTGATCCAGTTTGGGCAGGGGGCTGGACTAGATGACCTCATGAGGTCTCTTCCAACCCTCATCTTCTATGATTCTATGATTTTCCAATGAATGAACATTCTCCCCACAGAGATATGTGGAAAATAGGAAATAGAGAAAAGAGATGGAGAAAACAGGAAAATAGTGAATAGAGAAAAGAAGATGGAGAGAGAATGAGACACAGAGAGATGAAATATATGCAAACAAAGGTTAAAAATATGAGCAGAAAGGATAAAGAAAAAATAATCCTGAACTAGAGGACAAAACAAAACATTTTGAAAGAATGAAACAATAATTTAAAAATGTTGCCTAAGCACAAGCACAGCCATAGAGAAAGAGATGCATGATGATCTAGAGCTAAAAGTAGAGCAAAGGGAGAGAAAAGGAAAGAGGAAAAAGAGAAACACACAACACTGCTGTAATTTATTAATTATGTGTAAACTTTGTCAAATGTTTTGAATCTATGGTTTTATAAGAGGGATTACTATTACCAATTAATTAAACAAATCTAGAATGTATTCTCATCCCTTTGCTGGGCTTGTCATCCTGCCTCTGCAGTAGTTATCTTGTTTTATCTTCATCTTTTTGATTGGGAAGTGGAAGAAATCGAGCATTCCAAGAATTTGGAGTAGCAGAAAATGGCAAGGCTGGTTCTATAGTGATTAGCTATTTAATGTCTAATGTGCCAATTTCCATGAGTTCTCTTCCCTCCAGGTTTATTTATAAAGAGAGGCTGAAAAATTGGTTCCATTTAACTTTGGAAGGCTTCATGGTAAGCCAGACTGTCCTCTGAATAAGTCAAACTGCCACAAATCAGATCATTGCAATTTTGCTTTGCTTAGTAGACAATACATTTTCTACAGCTTTGGACCTCTCAAAGTGGAATATATTCCCTCTTCCATTTGTGTGGCATCCACATCAAGCCCCACGAGAGTCAAGAAAACTTACCTCTTCAGATGTACCCCCATTCAGTGGTATCCATGCCAATTTGTAGTGAGCAATATCAGAGGACATAGGCTTCCAACTGACTCTAAAACTGTCTGTTGAGACTTCATCTACATCCAAATACTGTGGGGCTGGAACTTTTTCTGCAAAACAACATTATGCAAAAGAAAAAAGAAGAGGAAGTGAAAATACACAGAAATCTTTAAACTACACTAATAGCTGATAGTCAACAAGCCCTTTGTTTCAATACTTAGGTTTCATTTCAGTTGCTGGGTTTAGTGTGCAGGTGCTGGGTGATGTTGGCAGCCTGTGATATATCGGAGCTCAAATCAGATACTCTGGTGGGCCCATCTGGCCTTAAACTCTATAACTTTGTGATTTTTTAGCTGTAGGTACCTAAATAAAATATAACATAGGGGATAGCTACGAAAGGTAACTCCTGTTATATTCACACTCGGTGATTCTCAAGGTATTTTCACCTGGATATGCTTACTCAGCCATCTGGTGAGTAGTATTTTTATTATCCTGTTATTAATTATTTTACATTAGTACCTCGAAGCCCCAACCAAGATCAAGGTGCCACTGTGTTAGATCATACAAACACAACACAGTTCCTGCCTCTAAGTGGCTCACAATCTAAATACACAGGGCAGGCAAAGGTTAGGAGAAATAAAATATGTACTTAAGGTACATTTACACAGCAAAAACAAACAAACAAAGAAAATCTCCACAGCAAAGAGTTTCAGAGACTGGGTCACCAGACTTAGGTTAAAAATTAGTGTGTAAATGTTCAGGCTCAGGCACAATCCTGAGTTCTGAAACCTGCAGATGCGTGGGGGTCTCAGAACCTGGACGTACACTGCCAGGGATACTGGAACAATGTGTATACAGGTGATGCTGAGAGCCATTGAACCAAAGTGTAAATCCTGTATATAATGAAAACCACTTCAAACCAGGGGGTGTGGTAGCACTTCCCACACCCCTAGTTACAGCAACTACGTACAGTGCTATTTTTCACCCCATAGTTTAAGTGTTCCGAGCCTGAGTCATCTGACTCTGAGATTGTCTGCTGTGATTTTTGTGTGTGTGTGTGGACAGTCCTTCGTTAAAAGTGCCAGCAATAATGGATTTTCTAGCCCTGGAACTCAATTCCTGAGAGTGCTGCTATTTAGAGGTCACATTTCTGCATCATAGCACGTGGAGAGAGCAGACTAACTTGTGGAAGAGTAAAATCTTTTCACATCCTAAGTCATAAATGCAAATCCCAGATAGACTAATAAATGTCAGTCTGGTTCTAAATCTCCTTTTATTTCTGATTTGAAGCTTGACTCATAAAACAAAATGACAGCATATTACATGAGAAACGCATGTTCTTTGTGAACATAAAACGTGGTTCATTACATATATGTTTTCCGTTCATTACTTCCAGACTTCCTGGGAGCAAATGGATATCCCTTGATGATCTGAATGCACAAAGTGGAGAGCATTCAGCACTTCTTCACAACTGCTCGGCACCTTGTTAGATCAGGCCCGTATCTTATTTTGAACAAGGGTGTAGTGACTTGCTAGCATGGCCAGTGGGTGAAGCATCTTCTGGGGAAGGTTCGTTCCCCATCATGCCTCTTCTACCCATGGCCCCGCCCAGACTCTATTCCCACTCAGCCCAGGCACTGGCCACCCTTCTTGCCCTCTCCCTGCTCAGTTCCCTGCCATCATTTTCCACATATCTCCACTTCTGCTCCCTTCCTCACCAGGCCCCCACCACCCACCATGTCCCTCCTCACCTCCAGACCCCACCCAGCAAGGGTTGGGGACTGAGTAGGGATGCAGTGAGGACAAACGGAAATGAGGAAAGGAAGGATTCATCAGGCAGCAGTGGGTGGTTGGGATCCTGGGGAAAGGGTGGAGCAGGAAGGGTAAAAGGTAGGGCAAAGGCAGGGCTATCATGGTCCAGGCATCCAATTGTGGGGCAGCAGCCACTGCAACAAGGGAAGCTTAGTCTCCCCATGCCTATTATACCAACCCATGCTTGGTAGCTTGTGTAGGCTCAGTTCACTGCACATACCAGCAGCTCCTTGCATCCCTCCATTTCACCTCACAACCTCATTGTGTGTCACTCTTCCATACCCCTCTATTTCAGGGGACTCCCTGTAATCCCCACCAGTCTACTCCCTATCAGGAGTTCTGTGTGTTCTCTCATTCCTCCCACTTCCACTCATAAATAGGGTATGTCTACACTACAGCGCTAATTCGAACTAAATTAGTTAATTCGAACTAAGCTAATTCAAAGTAATGGATCCAGACTAAAAAACTATTTTGAATTAGCGTTTTGCTAATTCGAACTAGCATGTCCACATTAAGTGGACCCTGAAGCGGGGTTAAGGATGGCCGGAAGCAGTGCCGGCAGGGCATCAGATGAGGACTTAGAGCGTGGAGCTGCTGCCTCAGGCTAGCCGAGGGCTGTGCTTAAAGCAGGCATGTCCAAAGTCCGGCCCGCGGGCCAATTGCGGCCCGTGTTCCGGTTTAATACGGCCCCCCAGGTAATTTGGCAATATCTATCTTTTATGGCCCCCAACGAATCCATATGTATTGAGATGAATACATTGTAAAATCTCAGTTAATGTCAGTTGGTCTAAATCAGTTATAAATATATTTGGACACAACATGTATACTTGGTGTTATGTTCCTGTTCATATTTTTTGAACTTAAAAGTTGACAGACAACCTTTATTACCAATAATATGTAATGTACTTTACAATGTTCCTGACATATATTTCAGCTTCCTGGATTTTTTTTTCATCTGGCCTTCAGATATGAAAGGCAGAGTGATTTAACACCTGTTTAGATTTGTCATCCATGTGACGAAATGAAAAGTATGCCGTTTGCAATAAACTTTGCATAAAATAGTTAATTTGCATTTAATTTTAATGGTTCAAAGAATGTCAGGCAAAATGGTCGGCCCTCACGCATGTTCACTTCATCAAATCTGACCCTCTTTGAAAAAAGTTTGGACACCCCTGGTATATAGCATTCCTTTGTATCAGGGAAGATCTAGAATTCAGAATGACCTTAGAAAAATCAATTAGCTGAATGTGATGAGATAAAGAATTCTCACTTTCCTCTGTTTATAGCATGTTCCTCCTCTAGATAGTCTTGAATGGAAAAACAATGTGGAACAACTTGGTATTCACATGTTCTTAGAGCTTTACAAAAATCTTCAGCATTATTCAGCAATCAAGTATAGCCGCCAACAATATCTTAATACTAGACAGTTTGGTACTTGAATACTAAAGTGAGTAACAGACCATAGATGTTGCATCTCATCTGTGTTTTTACAGTAAATAAAGCATGTATATCTTTAATCTGTCACTCTCCTCTTTACACTATATTAACATTTTCCCTTGTCTTCTATAAATCTAAGTCCAATAGAACTGTCAACCCTTTCTAAGGATTATTTTGAAGATGGACAGCTCTGACATTATGAATTAATTTTTTTTTATCAGCTTGTTTATCCAGTAAAACAAAAAATTGTTTATATTAGCATTGAAACAAGCTATGTTAGAATCAAAACCCTGCTGGAAAATATACATAATCCAATTCAGTCCCTACATTTTTCAGAATTAAAAAAACTTAAAATTAGTCTCAGCTGGAAATTGCTGCTCTCAGAATCTCTAAATGTTGTTGGTCAGGACTTCATAGACACTAGAGAACCTGACATTAGCTTCCCAATGCTAATCTTTGCTCCATGATACTATGAGCTAGATGAATAATTTTAAAATGCTCTGTGAACGTTCACGTGAAATATTAAATGAATTCACTATATATATTTTTTCAATAGGATATATATATATATCCCATTGAATATTTACACAAGGGAAACAGTCCAATTTACTAGCACAAAATCCACAGAAAGTGAATTTCAAAGCAAGGTTCAATTGGAAATGAGTGCGCATTTTTTTTGCTCCTAATTAATGCAAATATGGCATTTGCTCCCATATGTAAGCCTTGCCCTCAGTTGCACCTATTCAGTGTCCATTTGCTTGGTTGCCCACTTATAACTGAGGGCAGAATTTGAACCAGCCTGCTGCCATATATAGGAGTGATCTAGTGGCCTCTCTCTTCAGTGGGAACAGAATTGGGTTGCCAGATCCGGCTCCTCATCATCACTATTCATGGGAAATACAGGTGTCTGTTAAGCTAGCTATGAATACTCCAGTGGCTACACACCCCTTAATTCGAACTAGTAAGTTCAAACTTGGCTTAGTCCTCATAGAATGAGGTTTACCTAGTTCGAACTAAGCGCTCCGGTAGTTCAAATTAAGTTCGAACTAGCGGAGCGCTAGTGTAACGCCTATCAAAGTTAATTCGAACTAACATGTGTTAGTTCGAATTAACTTTGTAGTGTAGACATACCCATAGGCCCTCCATTTTATCTCCCCTGCCATGGCAAAGAGTCTGTGTCTACCTCCATTTCTCCTCATTCCCTCATGACTCCCCTCCCCTACACCAGGATCTGGCATTCTCTGCATACATAGGGGTTGTATGTGCATCCCAGCCACTGCTCTCCCCCCCCCCCCTTGATGTCTTGCTTTGGAGACAAATAGTTTAATATTTTAAACTCCATTGGGAAGAGCAGAGATGAGTGAGGAGTGCTGTTATGCTAGACAGTAATGAGTGCCCTCAACCAGTCATTTCACTTATAGACAATTGCAGAGGTACGTGACGTTGTGGCTGTGCTAAACAGATGATATGACTTCACTGTGCCTTCTCTTTTGCCTCCTTTTCATTTTCTAATTTTTCCAAAAATCAATAGAGTTCTGGCCACTCATAACTAAAACAGTCTCTGAAATCTTGGAATTGACCTGACGTATCATTCAAATGTTACCATGTTACACACAGATGGAGTAATGCCATAGAAGTGAGTGTATGATCTGGCAAACTCTGACAAAAAAATATTTTACTACTTTATTAGATATAAAGGGTACAAAATATTGCTGCTTCTGTAACCTTTACTTCCTTGATCATACTAGTATTTTAATTATGTCATGGATTACTTATGTAAGCAATTGTTGAAGGACTAAAAAGTTTGTCATGAAAGAAGAATGCAGATGCTCATTTCCAGGTAATGAATGCAAACTCAGAATGATTTTACACAGCTAGATAAGAGATTACGCTGTAGTACCTATTTTTGCAGATTCTGCTAAGAAATTTACATGGGCTAAAAAAGAAAAGGTTAATTTTAGTTTAGTTCAGCAATTTTAGATTTACAAAGCCTTCCAATCCTGATATTTTTACTTAACATTGAGTAATCTGACAGCACAGATTCTACTTGGCTGCATTTTAGCAGAATGATGCTCCCAAATGTATAAAAAAGAAAAAAACACCCCAATAGCTTGAAATCACAGTTGGAGAGTGTCACAGGTACTGATCTTGCTTTCCAGAAATGTAAGTGTAGATCGAAAGTGTTCTTGGAAAGCCTTCAAATATGCAGTTAGACTTACGTGTGGTAAAGCTGCCAGTCAGTGGTTCTGACTGTCCTTCCTCATAGAGGGAAAAAATGGCAACAGTATACTCTGTATGGGATGTCAGCCTTTTCAAGGTTTGTGTTGAAACACGACCAACTTCCACCTGCAGAATTCATAGTCACATACTAGGAGTACAGAAAACAAAACCCTTTTACATAATCAGTGCCTGCAACTCAACTGGCTAGTAATGGATTTGGACAGAGAATGCCATGCAATTACGTAAAGAACTACAATTTATATAATTATATGCAAAATTTACATTACGTAAGAAGGTAAAGTCAAGGCCATCAAATACTGTTAAAAATGAGCTAGTCTAGATTGTAGCAAACTGTAGGAAACTGGAGGAAGGAAGAACACTTTATGTTTAATATTTGTCATAAAAAAATGTGCGTGGTGTTGCTATAGCCATGTTCGTCCTACGATTATTAGCAATACAAGGTGGGTGAGGTAATACCTTTTATGGCACCAATTTGTGTGGTGAAAGCTTGTTTCTTTCACCAACAGAAATCAGTTTAATAAAAGATATTACCTCACCCCTCCCAGTCTCTGTAATAAAAAATGACGACAGTTTTCTTTGGTCTTCAGCCAGAGCACATTTAACTAGGCATTACCGAGGACATAAACCCCAGAAAGCTGCATAAGCTGGCTATACATCAGGCCAGACTATTCAATGTCATGTCAGACCAGGGCACAAAGAACAAGACACAACTCAAAAGCAACCAAAGCAAAGTGGTAAGAATATATTGTCTATTTTATGAGAAAAAATAATTGTAGAGTAACAAACAGGTGGAGAAAAAACTATATATCACCACACATTATAAATCATGCTCTCACCACATAAAATAAGCATATTACATTTCTATTCATCTGGGATGTTCACATACCAGGGTGATGAGTTTAGACAGACATTACAAACCTCAGAGATGTCCAGATTATAAATAAACTATGGAATGGGATCAGGTGAAGTTTGATTTATTGACAAACGATGAATACCAGGGAAAAACTACTCACAACTTTGCCACCCATGAATTATGTCCTCTTCCAAACTTGTGAGTAACCTGTGCTAGTTTAATATGGATATTTATCCCATTTGTAAAAAAAGGTCTGATAACTCTAAACTGGGTGGGGAATCTAAGGCCTGGGAACAGGATGGAGGCCCCGGTTTGCCTGGGTCCGGCCCTTGAGCCTCGGGGCTCCCCGCAGTATTGGGGAGCCCACACTGGTGAGGGATGTTTTTTTCCGTTTCTCACTTACGTACAGCCACCAACTGATTTTTCGGTGGGTCAGTGGCCCTTGACCCAAAAAAGTTTCCCCGCCTCCACTCTACACAGTCATAGCCACCGGCTGATATCATAGGCTTTTATATATCTTATTTGTACAGGATTGGTCCCATTTACTGCAACCATTTATTTAAACTTCTTTCATATATTTGGGTTGATTTTTGTATTAAGATGCTTCATTCTATTTAGAGAGCCTGCTAATGGTCCTTATGCTGATGAAAACTATAAGGAATGCTCTTCTAGTTACAATGAAGATGTTGTCAGGCTGGAAAACTGAGCACAGGTTGAAACCCCCAAATCCAGGACTCTCTGGTCCAGCAACATCCATGGTCCAGCAGGGCCATGGTTGGTGCTGAACCAAAGAGCCCCAGAGACTGGAGCAACACCGGGGCTAGAGCAACACCAGTTCAGCCAGGCAGCATTCGGGGAGCCCCTGTGGCACTGGCAGGGGAACCCCCGGCATCAATGGGGACAGGCAATGGCAGGGGTCCCCAGCCTCGGCTAGGGAATCCCTGGTATCAGCAGGGACAGGTGCTGGCTGGGGAGCTCCTGGCCTGGATGTGGAACCCTAACGCTAGTGGAGCCAGGTGGCTGAGAAGCCCCCACCCTGGCCAGGGAACCCCCAGCATTAAGGGTGCCAGGTGGTAGCAGGGGAGCCTCAGCTTTGGCTGGGGAACCCCCGGTGTCAGCAGGGCTAGGCAATGGCCAGGGACCTCCTGCCCCAGCCAGGGAACTTCCAGCATTAGCAGGACCATGTGGCTGGGGAGTCCTAGCCAGGAATCTGGAAACTCTCCAGTGGCAGCGGGGCCGGGATGACTGGGCAGCCTCTGTCGGGAAATCCCCTGGCTGAGGCAGGACTGGTGGAGGTGGGTGGCCAGAATCCCCAGCGGTAGCAGGGCCAGTCCTAGCAGCGAGGTGGAAACCGACAGGAGTTTTTGCTCCTGTTGCCCTCCCACTGCGGGGATGGCGGGAAAACTTAAATCAAGATATGTCTACTCCAGCTACATAATTAACATAGCTTGAGTTGCGTATCTTAATTCAATCTTCCCCTTTAGTGTAGGCCTGGCCCAAGTCAGCCGGCATGGGCCAGCCCACAGGTGTGTGCCTGCAGTGTAGACATATCCTGAGAGTCCAAGTCTGAAATAGGTTGTTAAAGTCAAAGTGATATCCTGCCTAAAGAAAACATTCATAACTTATTCAGTATGAGCCAAATCCTCCTTCTGTTGGAACTTGATTGTTCCGTTTACTTTACTATGTGCACAAGGAAGGAGTGTGCACCCAGGTAAGGTTTTGCAGGATCTGATACATGTGTGTGTGATGCACTCTGAATACATGTTCTATATTAAGCATAATGTTCCATTCACAGAGCTTGAAAATTATATGTAAATCTTCTGTTACCACTTGAAGGATCTGATTTTGTTACAGACATTACACTTAAGAATACGGTATATTATTAACTGCTTACCTCATTGGTTTCTGTCCCATCAGTTTTAACATACATAATACGATAACCTTTTACTTTTTTGGAAGCAGGCTCCCATGTAATCCTGGCAGTGCTATGTCCAATGTCTGAAAATCTCAAATTCCTGGGTGGACTTAAAGGCACTTGAAAAGAAATAATTACAATAATTAAAATAGGTCTGTCTTTTATTTCGTGCACAAAGCACATCCTATCTTGACAGTTAACATGAAACATTTCATTTTAAAAATTATACTATTAAGCAATATGACTGACAATCTTGTATCTATACTTTTCTTAGTTTAGATCACTATTAAAAAACATAAGAACATATATAAATTTAACAATTGTGTAGTGCCATTGATTTCAATGGAACTGCATTTGTGCTTAAAATTAAGTATGTGATTTAGCAGCTTTGCTGATCAGAGGCTAAAGCACTGGCAAATAAAGGATCCATCACTGCAGTTGAATATTGAATGGATAGAAATGGAAGAAATGAGGATACTGCTTGTTGCTGGATAGCAGAGTTGGATTTATACTATATAATATTTTTCCACCTGTACATTTGGATTTGTAAACTGATCTGTGTTAACTATGTCTCTACTCCATGTGTTTGTTGGTGGTAATGGAAACTTTTAAATGAATATTTGGCAGTTTAAAAAGTCATCTAATCAAGAAACAGACAATGCTGGTTGATGTTTATAGCTAATCACACTGGGTATGTCTACATTTGCACCCTCTTTTGAGAGAGGGATGCAAATGAAGATATTCAAAATTGCAAATGAAGCCAGGATTTAAATATCCCACATTTCATTTGCATATTTGCATTATGGCGCTATTTCGAAATAGCGCTATTTCAAAATAACAGACGCTATTAAGATGCGGTTATTTCTAGAGAAAAATCTTCTCTCAAAATAACCCTTATTCCTCATATAATGAGGTTTACCAGTTATTTCGAGAGAAGGGTTTTCTCTAGAAATAACCGCGTCTTAACAGTGTGTTCTTTTGAAATAGCGCCATAATGCGAATATGCCAATGAAGCACGGGATATTTAAATCCTGGCTTCATTTGCAATTTCAAATGTCTTCATTTGCATCCCTCTCTTGAAAGAGGGTACAAGTGTAGACATACCCAAAGGGAATTGCAAGTATTAAATGCAAATATACCATAACAATTCACATATGGGGAATATTTGACCTCAAAATTCATTTTTCACATATATTTATGTTAGTGATTCTTAAACACTCATGCAAAAAATAAAAATAAAAGAATGGTAAACATGGTACATTCAAATGATTATTAGTGAAAATGTTTCCATTATTTGTTCAGCTCGAGTTAATACCAAACTTCATTAACAAATCCATTACATTACCTTAATATTTTACTAATCCAAACTCAAAGAAGACTAAATGTACACTGTACATGCTCACAGAATACTTTATTTGGGAAGTTTCAGGGCTGACGAAAACCTTTTTAATTTTGTAAAGACCTTAGCAAAAGGGGAAGAGGTTTCTAAGGTGAGAGGATAAGTGTATTCAGGATGGTTTATCTTCAGCATGTAAGAAAGTTAGGCAATAGCCTTCCATAGCTCAAATGGAACATCTAACCAGAAGTTTCACCAGTTCTTGGGCAGAGAGGGAGCTGACTACATCTAGGGTATGTCTAGACTACATGGCTCCGTCGACAGAGCCATGGAAACTAGTTTACCGGGCATAGGCAAAGAAAGGAAAAATATGTGATAGGGTTACCCGGCATAGGCTGAAAGGAAAAATAAGTGATAGGGTTACAAAACAGAAAGGGATCCTACTTGTTGAAGCCCCATTACAACCTGTTATAAATGTGATCTGTTATAAACATAAAGAACAGAAGGACCTGCAAGAATTTCTACCTGGAGGCACATGCCCTCTTTTTAATTCCATTAACCAATCTCCCACCCACACGGGAGAAATAACAATGGTCCAAAAACAGCCACCTGGCCACTCACAGGCCACTTCCTGGTGTCTCGGGTATTATTAATTCTGGATCTCTTTGGTTTGCATTCCTCCATCATGATCCATGTGAACTTTACTTTCTTATAAGAGGGTTTCCCTGCCTCCTCTATCCTGTCACTGCATTTTTCCGTTCCATCCCCAACCATCTGATGTCTAACTGCTCTGTTAGCTACCTGCTCCAGCCTGTACAGTAGTCTGTGAAGAGCTATGTGCCCCAAGGTAATACATAAAAAATCACTAAATACATGAACTGAAGAAGACAAGTAATTAGTGGATACTAATAGTGTCTTCACAGCAATCAAAGCCTAATCTGGTTAGCCATTTTTATTTTAAAGGTGAACAGTCAGAATCTGGTTCAAGTGTCAGACTGAGAACAACCCTTACATGGGGACCAAAGGGAAAACAAGACATCTCTCTTCCCCCTTGTGTAGCCATGAGTACTGCTCACAAAAGCAGTTTCTGTGAGCTAGGAAGAGCTGACGCTATTCATTCCTGGGCCCTCTGGGAGACAAGATGCTAAAAAGAGAGAGAGAAAAGGGAGGGAAATGGCAGGGCAGCAGCATAAAACCACAACATAACCCTAGGTAATAATACTAACATATGGCAAGATTCTGCCACTTCACCTAGGCCTTGTCTACACTAACCCCTGCTGTTGATCTAATCTACATCACTTCAACTATGAAAAAAGCGTAGCTGAAGTTGATGTTCTTACTGAGGCACCTTCTGTGCGCTAAGATTGGTGGGGGATGTTCTCCCATTAATGCCAGCCACCATTCTTGTCCTGGTGGAGTACCAGCATCAACAGGAGAGCATTCACAAGTCAATTTATCATGTCTAGGCAGACACCATAAATTGATGGCCAGTGGATCGATCGCTGCAGCATCAATCCCCAGAGAAGTGGAGACAAGCCCTCATGCTGAGTAGTATCTTCCTGTGCAATTAGCTCCACTGAAATCAGTGGGGCAGCACAGGACACTACCCAAAAGTGTTGGAATCTGGTCAATGGAACATAGGCTGTTTCATGAAAAATTAAATACCTGGCCCTGTAATATATACTACTCTGTATTAATAAATAGCAGTCAGCATCAGGAATCTCTATAATTTGCCCAAACCAGAATGCACAATATCATCTCCTCTCAGTTAGTCCTCTGTACAGATAGTAAAATCTGAGATCTATTTTCAGACACACAAAGACTAGCAGAAGTTTTATTAATGTTGTATAGTGAATACAGATGTGTCTGACCTACATGTTGTTTCTTGTCCTGTCAGAGGATCACTAGCTTCTTCTCCAAACATCGCATAAACTGTGACTGTATATTCTGTGTTAGGCAATAATCCATCCAGCTGAATATCTGTCAAGGCCTCTCCAATTTTCATCTAAAAGTAATATGAATAACAGACACATTATTCCTAAACTAGCTCATGAGGGGGAAAAAATAAGCCAGTCGCATTTTTGCATAGGAGACAAGTATTTTCAATAGGACAGAGCATATTTTTATTAAGCTGGTAAATGCCATAAAACTGAATAAAAACAACAGGCTATAATGTGCTCATTTAGGCTCCAATTCAGCAGAGCACTTAACTTTGGCATACAATTAAACCTCTGAGAGTCAGTGGGACTTTTCATATGCTTAAAAGTTAAGCACGTGCTCAAGTACCTTGTTCAACAGGAACTTCAGAGCACTGTAGTTAAACTGGAAAAGAGTGAGGTCAAATCTTGCCCTGTGTTGACTCAAAAAAAGTTGTTCTGCTAGACCTGAGTACAGCACTTGGCCCAGTGTGAACAGGTTTGTTATTGCCTAGAGCAATGAAATACCTACAGTTGTCTAAAAGACAAACACCGCACAGGAAATGTTTCACATGAAGGTGGAGGGGATAAAAGCCAAATAAGCAACAACATAATCATCCTCTGCTGTAGCAGAACAAACAATCCTCAACCTCTCTTCAATATTCATCTATGCCTAAGAGATTGTTGGATCTGTATTTCAATGCAGTGGAAATGAATGGCTTCAAAATGACTGCTGAAGTGAGAATATTGCAGAAAGTGGAAAGGATTCTGATGTATTAATCAGAAGTCTGTCTACAGGCTGAGGCTTGGTTTTCCTTTTTGCTTTTTCAGGTGTGTACCATTTTCCCCTTAAGCTCCCTCAGTAGGTGCCACATTAACAGGAGCTGATTTATTTATTGAAAGATCTTTCGACAGGGCAAAACTCAGTTCTGCTGATGTCAGACAATTTTCAATGAGGCCCCATTTTCAAGAGGGCTACATGATCATAGCTATTCATTTTGCAAAGATCAGAAGTCTATGAGAATTCTCAGAGGCTGACTACACCCTTTCCAGAATGTTGCATGCACTTGCATGCTGTCAGTGCTCTTGCTTGGATAGAGTCCTTATTTAAAATGCTCTTAATTTCACATACAGTCAATGGAGCATAAATACATTTTTAATTTTAGCCCTAAGATTGCACTGGCTCTATATTAGTGGTTTCCAAAAAACACTAGTATTTCTAATGACAACATAATATTCTGCCTATAATTTTACTACTCGAGAGCTGTACCTAAGTCTGTTGTTCTTGTTCTATTCAAAGTTATTCACATTTAAAATTAATCATTTTAGCTCTTCTAAAACTAACTTTAAAACACAAAAACAAATAAAAACCCTTTGACATTAATTAAAAATAAAAGTTAGAATTAAAACAAAGCATAGAAATGTCATATTTACTAATTGAAGATGATTTATTTTCAAAAGTCCAACTGTAAATAAAAAGACTAAAACTTCACATTCTTCTAAATCGACTTTTCAGAAAGATCAAGTCACTTGTGTTTTGGTTTCTTTTTTTCTGTTTGGCTGTGTCTAGACTGGCAAGTTTTTCCGCAAAAGCAGTTGCTCAGATTTGTTTTGCGCAAAAAAGTCCCAATCGCAAAAATGGCAATCGGGGCTTTTTTGAGCAAAAGCGCATCTAGATTGGCATGGACGCTTTTCCGCAAAAAATGCTTTTGCGGAAAAGCATCCATGCCAATCTAGACGCTCTTTTCCGCAAATGCTTTTAACAGAAAACTTTTCCATTAAAAGCATTTGCGGAAAATCATGCCAATCTAGACGTAGCCTTTGTGGTTTTGCCTTCATGCCATGATACAGTATTGCCTCATGAATTATTCCAAAAGACTCTCTTTCACTGAGCTATAACTTGTGGCATGTCTTATGCAGTAATGAAGTTAAATTTGAAAATACCGATGATTTAAAAGTAACTACTTGCCATTTAGTTTGCACAGAAAGTCAGTAACATGTATGGTACTTGAAAAGCAAGGAAACAGACAAGGTTTAAAGCTAAAGTCCATCTGACATTTTGTTTCTTAAATTTTCTGGTTCTGAATAACTAGGATCTAAAGGAAAACTAAAGACATCACCTCCTTTTCATCTGCTGCCAGTCCCTCCGTGAGGGGAGCATATAGGATCATGTAACCAGTGGCACCCATTACTGCACTCCATTTTGCTCTCATGCTGCTCTGTGATACATCATACAATTGCAGATTTGATGCCATAGGCAAAGCAACTGCAACCAAAAGAGGTACATTTTTTTTAGTTGCCTCTAAAAAACTCTCACTATCATTACATCAATTTTTTGACTATAGGGACACAAAGGAATGTAGTGAGGTAAACACTTGAAACACAGTTTGGACACAAAGGAATATAGTGAGGTAAACACTTGAAACAGTTTCACATAATTACAAAAGACAATAGAAAGATCTCAGAATTAGATGAGAAAAGAGCTATGCCATCCATCCTAGACCCCAGACGGGGGTGAATTGTTCTTACAGGACATTTCTAGTGCCATGCCTCGGTCAGATTTTCAGTGCTACAAGAGAAGGATTTCTAGCTTCCCCTTGGGAGAATCCTCAAGAGTATAATAGATGTAGTTGGACCACACCACTCCAAGCACAGGTCCCATCCCACTTCTCTTCTAGATCTGCATGGGCATGAGGGTTGGCAGTACAGAGTGGGTAGTGTCACCATTAAGGATAAACTACATAAGCAGTTACATGGGCATTGAATTTTTAGGGTAGCTTTTGTCTAGCAATAATCTCCCCCAGATACAGCATGGGAGGTATATTCATGGTGAAGGGACAAGGTCAAGCACAAGATGGCTGGGCTATGTTCTAACCACATAGGGTTGTGCTTGGAGTCCTGGGTAGCCTTAATTAGTCCAGCAGCATGTATCTATGGGGATACGTAAATGTAAAGAAGGCGACAGTGATCCCACAGTAAGTGGTACAGCACATCAGAGGCCTGGTCTACACTGAAGGGGAAGGTTGACCTAAGATATGCAACTCCAACTACGTTAACTGCATAGCTGGAATCAACGTATCTTAAATCCCTGTTCCTACAGCAGGTGGTCAACAGGAGTAAACGTTCTCGTCACCTTCCCTTACTCCTTGAAAGGAGCAGGAGTATCAGCACCTACAGGGGTGCCCTCTGAGTTTGAGATAGTGTGGTTTTACTAGACCTGCTAAATCAAACCTGAGACGATTGACTACGGCAGTGTCGATTTTCCCTGTAACATAGACGTGCCCAGAGTGTGTGACTAAGTAGGCTGAACTAAGTCTCTAAATGGGATGAATATGTTGACACATAAAATTATGGCGGTACCACTGGAGCACAGCGCTAATCTGGGTCTCTTTTTAAAGTGAAAGTTCTTATTTAATTCTTCAGAATAGCCCTCTATTTTGTATTTATCCGATTGTCCGCATTTGTTCCTTTGGCAGGAATATATCCCAGTGCCTCTCTGCTGCTCTTCATGTCAGCACTAGGGCCCGCAGTAGTGTTATTAGTACAGTGAGTTGCTACTGGGCATAACAATTCAGCTCCCATTGGCCAGGAAGGGTGAACTGTGGCCACCAGGAGCTGCAAGCAGCTATACTTGTGGATGCTCAGGTAAACAAATATCCAGAGGTTAACGGCTTATTGCCTACCCCTGATACCCAAACACAGCTTCTTATAACCAAGGGAGGAAGTGGAACAGAACTCTTCATGAATCTCACTATAGACCTGCTACATGAAACATTTAAATACTATAGCGATGGGTCAAAACTCTAAGGAACATAGATAGATTTGTGCAAAATACTCACCGATAAAGACTAGGAATGAATTTCCTGACTTTCCATCTCTTTCCAAGTGCTAATGTTGTACAATGAGAGTGCTACTCACCAAAATATGGATCCCTTTCTGTTTAGAACAAAAAATCTTAAGCAAAAATAACATAGGGCTTATACTGCATTGCAACGCTGGTGCAAACGCTCTGTGAAGCAACTAGGTGGTAGCAGTATGTCAGATTTGGAGATGGGAATTTCCAGGTAGCATTGTGGTAATTCAGGATAACAAACTGAGTTAAGGGTTGAACCGTATCAGAATATGGATTGACTTCCTTTGAATTTCCTCAGGGGAGTAGCCAAGTTAGTCTGTAGCAGAAAAAACAACAAATAGTCTGGTAGCGCTTTAAAGACTAACAAATATGTAGATGATATCATGAGCTTCCATAGGCACAGCCCACTGCTTCAGATGACCAGAGTGGTGGATGTCCTTACCTGCTCAGTTTTGTCATAAATTTACCATTCTTTTCCTGACTGTTGCTTAGTCTTCTTCCCACCCTATATATTAAAAGTAATGGGAAAATCCAGTTACTGTGCAAATACAGCCTTGGTATAATTGCTCCTAACAAGTTAGCCTAACAACGAAGAGTGAAACTTTCTGAAGTAAGACAGCTCCAATTTAGGCCTGTCTCTGAGGTGTGATTGATACAGGAGGTTCAAAAGGAATACTTTCAGCTATTTCTTCCCACTTTCATTTTACAACTTGCTCTCTTAGATCATCTCTGCTGGTGCACGTTTGCAAAAGAAAGTTGGGAGAAAGAACTTTCACAAATTCATTTTCTTAAAAAAAAAAAAAATTAGCAAGAAGCCTACAAAAAACATTATTTCAGCTGCCTCCTTTTTCAAATGTTTCCGGCAGATGTTTATGTGAGGAATGTGCTGGAGCTCTTTCGGGAAGACACAGAAGTGACATTTCTTGAGGGTTTTACTTGAAGAATTTGTCTTTCACATCATGTCTTTAAACATCTGCAAAAGGCAGCCGAATCTTTATTATCCCACTAACTTCAAGAAAGGCACATTGCACAGTCCTGAGTCCTTTAAAACTGGTACTTAATGGGACTGACAGATGAAAAATATCAAGCTCTAATGTTTTCCTTCACTAGAAACTCACCCTCTGACCTTCTGACTCCAGAGCAAGGCTGCTGCCTTCTAAAAAAGAACATTGACTTCCGCTCAGATGTGGTTTTTATTATTTTTGTTGTTTAGGGGTTTTCCCCGTCTTTCTCTGTCATCTCCTTTAGGAGAAAGTATCATCCTGAGGATTCAAATAATAATGAAAAAATGTGAACACATTCAGGTTAGGTGTTTTTATGGCACTTATTCCCCTCCAACCCTCTTTTTTATTGCCACAATTGTTTTCTTCAGAAATTCAGCTGTTTTAAAAAAAAAAAAAACACGTTGAATGAGTGGTATAATTCAGTTCCCATGTGCTTTGTTTGTCTCTGGGGGTTATATGCCACTGGACCGCAAAGTGTGGGTTGTAATCCTACTTGAAGACTGCCTAAATTGGCTCGTCTGGCTTACAAAGTAACCTTTTTAAAGAAGGATTCCAGCTATCTGTGGGTTTTATCCATAAAAGTTCATGATACTATACGTTTTTGTTTGCCTCTAAGCTCTGGCCTACACTAGGGAGTTATTTTGAAATAACCCCCCTTATTTTGAAATAATTAATGAAGCGTCCACACTGACGATTGACTACGGCAGTGTCGATTTTCCCTGTAACATAGACGTGCCCAGAGTGTGTGACTAAGTAGGCTGAACTAAGTCTCTAAATGGGATGAATATGTTGACACATAAAATTATGGCGGTACCACTGGAGCACAGCGCTAATCTGGGTCTCTTTTTAAAGTGAAAGTTCTTATTTAATTCTTCAGAATAGCCCTCTATTTTGTATTTATCCGATTGTCCGCATTTGTTCCTTTGGCAGGAATATATCCCAGTGCCTCTCTGCTGCTCTTCATGTCAGCACTAGGGCCCGCAGTAGTGTTATTAGTACAGTGAGTTGCTACTGGGCATAACAATTCAGCTCCCATTGGCCAGGAAGGGTGAACTGTGGCCACCAGGAGCTGCAAGCAGCTATACTTGTGGATGCTCAGGTAAACAAAGCACCTGGAGGAGCAATTATGGCTAACTCTGGTGAACAATGTCCAGCTTGAAGGCTGGTTATTGCCCATCTTACCTTACAGTACCTCTACACTAGCTCGTTAGTTCGAGCTAGGTAGGGTAATTAGGACAAGCGGAGTTGCAAATAAAGCCCGGGATTTAAATATCCCGGGCTTCATTTGCATGTTCCCGGGCACTGCCATTTTAAAATCTCCCTTAGTCCGAACTCCGTGCCTGAGGCTACATGCGGCATGGAGTAGTTAGTTTGAATTAAAGATCCTAATTCGAACTACCGTTACTCCTCATGGAATATTTAAATCCCGGGCTACATTTGCAACTCCGCTTGCCCTAATTACCCTACCTAGCTCGAACTAACTAGCTAGTGTAGACGAACCCTTAATCTCATTCAGGCTCCCATCATCTGACATCTTGCTCATCTACTGCAACATCCTTTTCTCTGGCCTTGACAAATACAGTCTTGCCCAGCTCATATCCATTCCGAATGTTGCTGGTAAGATCATTTTCCTAGCCTGTCATTTTGATAATGTCACCCCCTTCCTTGGTTCCCTCCACTGGCCCCACCTTCTCTATTGCACCAAACATAAGCTACTTGTCTTCACTTTCAAGGCCTTTCATGCCCCATCCTCACCCTCCCGACCATATCTCAATCAATATGGAGCCATCGACTCTGGCCTCCAATTGGCCCATGATGCCAGTCTTCATTGGCCACTCATTACATTTTCAAACAAGCACTTTCATCCTTTCTCCCATGCTGTGCCTCAGGCTTGGAAAAAGTTTCCCATAAACATCCGCAAAGCTACCTCATTATCCTTCAAACTCCCTACCCCCTTAAAGCTCTCGTTTCCCATTATGCCTACAAAAAGTTGGATAACAGATAGGATGCTGGTGTGCTGGAACTCTTGTCCATCGTGCTGACAAATACTGTCTCATTGTTTCCATATAGTCCCTCATCTGTCCATTTCTATCTCTTATGTCTTGGTTTATACTTAGTTGTAAAGACAATCTTTTTGTTCTGGGTTTGTAACAAGTTTAGCACAAGGGGGTCCTGATCCATGACTCAGGTCCCTAAGTGCTCTGATAAAACAAGTAATAAATAATGAGAGAGACAGAAGAGGGACAAAAAGATAGGGAGAAAGAGCAAGTGCTTCTGTTATAATTACAAATGTTAAAACTTTAAGTGCATATTAGTTAATTTGCAGCAGGAGTAGACACCTAATAATGCTGCTAACTGAAAAAAATTAAATTAAGAGGAAATTTTAACGTACCTATAATAAATATAGGCATAAGGAAAGAACACATATTTGCAAGAATTTCAAACAAATATACATTTAATAGTTGTTTTGCATTTTTCAAAGTGACTAAAAGGCTCCTCTCTTACTTTTCTGTATTTTAGACATTGATAGCACGGAATATATTTACCTAAACATCACATTACTGTCAGGTCATGTTTAATGCTAGTTTTCGCATTTGTGGTTAATTTTAATCTATCAGAGTCACACAAGAAGGAAAAAAATGTAAAGTATAATTTTTTACAGATTTTAACTGGCATGGTGAAAAACATTTTCAAATTGCAATTATTTTATTACCTGGAGTGATTAATACTTATACATTTCAGACTTTTAGTTATGACACTAAAAGACTCACTTATATAATGCTTGCAGCCATACCACCTTGGGCTGTGATCTGATCGGATCTCAGAAAAATAAGCAGGGCTGGGCTTAGTCAGAACTTGAAGAGGTGACTTCAAAGGAATACCAGGTGCAACAGGAAATGATGTTATTGATCAGAAATTAACCTATACCTAATATGGTGTTATGGAACACAGTGCTGCTAGAGATTCACTTTTTTTGGATGAAACAACAGGCCAAAGTTTTGAAAATATGTAACACAACCCCCATCAAATTTTTTGTAAATTTGTGAGTGTTAGCTTCGATTTTTCTGGCTGAATCCAAACTAGATAATTGCATTCCACCTAACTAAATTCCACCCTGTAGTTTCAACTGGAAAAGTGATTTTTCCCTTCCCTGTGTAAGGTCTGTCATATCGCTGGGAGAAAATGACAGCATTTGGGGTGAAAATATTTGAATTAAATAAAAATTATGTTATATGACTTAGAGTAGGACCTAACCCTCCAAGTTACTTATATGGCCCCCATTGAATATCTGACAGTGTTACATGTATTTATCCTTACAACATCCCTGTGGTAAGGAAGTACAATTATCACAGATGGGAAACTGAAGCACAGAAAGTCTATGTCACTTCCCAAGGTACCTTTGGAAGTCTGTGACAGAGCAGGAAATTAAACACTGGTCTTTCCAGTCTCAAACAGTCCTCTGCACTAAGAATGTTAAATAGCAGTTAGTAAGCTAATTGAGTAGTGAATGGAAATTCCATTCACTACTCATTTAGTCAGTAAGAGAGTTCGCTGTGGCTCTGCTTTTTAAATTTAGTAAGAGCCACCAGGCCCTGACTACATTTAAAAGACAGAGCTGCAGCGGTCTGGGACCAGGCGCGAGCTGGGACAGTTGAGTCCCGGTTTGCACTGGGTCTCCCACTGCACCTCTGCCTCCCTGCAGAGATGGTGGTAGGCGGAACCAGCTTTTAAGCCGGCTCCCCCCAGCACCAGCTCCTGATCCCCTCACTTGCTGCCTCTGTATCAGAGGCAGCAAGAGGGGGGTGGTAGTGAATAGCCAAGTAGTGACTCGACTAGGGTACATCTAGACTACAGGCTTTCAAAGAGCATCTAGACTACATCCAGTTCTGTCGACAAAGCAAGCCACTTTGTCGACATGACAGTGTAGACGCAAAGGACAGTGTAGATACAATAATGCTTTCTGTCAAAAGAACTCTGTCGACAAAAAGCGTTATTCCTCGTAGAATGAGGTTTATAGCCATCGACAAAACTGCTGAGTTCTGTCGACATTATGTTGACAGAACTCAGCAGCAGTGTAGACGCAGGTATAGTTTTGTTGACAAAAGTCCACATTTTTCGACAAAGCCCTGTAGTCTAGACACACCCCTAGTGACTTATATCCCTACTATGCACTGAACTATCCAACCTCTCTTAAGAACATAAGGCCAAACAATGGAAATAAGGCTGTATGCCTAAACCATAAAGTTGAGAATCAGCTGCAGCTCCTAAACTGTTCCAAAGGCCAGGAATGTTGTGATTTAGAGTCTTGGTTTGGCCATTACAGAGAGAATGTAACTGGCTGAAAGTTCAGTCGAGCTCTGAATACAAACTTCCCCAGCATTTGGGAGCATTTGGACCCTTAGTTCAAGCTCAAATCTACTTAATGAATGTCAGACAATACTAGTAAAAATTGCTGAAGAGAAAAATGAGTGGAATCTGCAGCCTTGCTTACACTGAGACGTGCTCACTCACTATTACTGAGTCATGGCCATAACAAAATGAGTTAGGATACTTACGTGTAGTTTCAGTGCCACGGAGGCCCTCGCTTGCAGCACTTACATACACAGCAAACACAGCTATCTGATATTCAGTTAGAGACATCAGGTTTTTCAGAACGGCTGTTGATACACTTCCATCCACCACTACCTGTTTGGGGAAAAGAAAATGAAATAAGTTATCAAATAAATCAGTCTTTTTACTATTTAATCCAACTTATCTTATCTGTTATCCTAGCTAGCATATTTCTAAGACAATCCTTGGAATGATACATAAATGTTACTATATCTATGTTTAACACAACAAAAATGAGATTTGTATCTTAGTATAAAGTACAGTAGCTAGACAACAGAATGCCTCATATATGTACAGTAGGGAGTCTTAAGGCAAAGCAGCACTTTGAATCAAAGGAAATGTTAAAAATACAATTAACATAATCGAAATTAAGAATATGGTGTAATGGTCCCATTCTGATATATTTATTATGTAATTCAAAATTTAATTATAGTACTACTGAATGCATACCCCTATGTATCCACAGACACCACAAGAGCAAAATCCCCCAAATAAAACAAAATACCTTCCCAAAAAAAACCCATGCATTTAACCTCACCCTTTAATTATACTGATTTTATTGTCCTGCCTCTACTCTCCATTCCCTTCCCATCCTGTTCTGAAAGTTGTCTGATTAAGCTGTAAACATCTTCATGCGGTGTCCTTGTTTGCATTCCTACCTCCAAAACACTGAGTAAACTGCTGGTGCTACACAAATAATAAATATCCATCTGACCCCATATTAGTAAGTTTAAGGCAGATTCCCAGCTCTACATCTGTGTTTTTCTTTTAATGAGTTATGTTTCCAAAGCTCAAACTCTAACCCTTCTGGCCCTTTGTGGCTCTGTGTCCTTTGAAATAGCACCATTCAGAGTTGGTCAAATAAGAAAAGCAAGATGTATAAATAAAAACACAGTTTACATATTGGATTTTAGGTCCTTTTCGTGAACATCTTAATCACAGGCTTAGGTATATACAACCTGTGGTAGCCAGCTTCCAAGCCTGAGCCAATGGACTCGGGTTGTGGATTCATGTCACCAAGCTACAAATAGTTGTGTACATGTTGCAGCTTGGAATGGAACTCAGGTTGTGAAACGGCTCTCAGAGCACATATTCTAGCCAAAGCCACAATTTACAGTTCTGTCTACACGGCTACTTTTAGCACAAACATGCAAGTCCAAAAGAGCTGACAGACTTTGCCAGGCCCTGCACAAGGTGGGTCAGGGCCAGTTCTGGCTCCCCCAGAAGGGGCAAGGCCTCATGCAGAAGGGTTAGGGCTGTGGACTAGCCTCGCCCCACCAGCTAGCCCTTCAGCACCACTCACCCAGGGCTCCAGCGATAATTTACAGGGACCAGAACTCTGGTTGCTGCCATTTCCACTGTAGCAGCAATCAGGAGTCCCAGGCCCTTTTAAATTTCTGGGCCCCAGGCCTTCTTTGCCCTCCCCTTCTCCCCAGTCCTGTTGGTGGGCCTATGCAAGTACATAAGTCTGAGTCTGTTGGATGCAGAGATTTGCTCTCACGTGCTACCCCATAAATGGAAGCAGCATCGGGTCTATCAAGTACCAGCATTCCTATCTGGTAAATTCTTTCTATGTATGTTTACTAGAAGTTTGCACAGCCATGAGGCTGATAGGACTTTCTTTCCCCTCCCCTCCTCTCCCCTCCCCTTCAGCTCATTACCTCCTCTGGTTGTCCTCCTCTAGTGGGATAGTACACAACTCTGTATTTTTCCACCTTTCCAGGTGCATGGGTCCAGCTAACACGGAATCCTCTGGCTGTTACCTCTGATGTGACCAAATCTGTAGGAGCTCCAAGAGTGGTAACAAATGTTCCTATGTATGAGATAATATAAAAAAAAAATTATCCCTGTAAAATAATTTTGTTTTTGCTCTAATTGCTGAGTTCTACAAGATCTTTTATCATTAGAAACTGAATTCACTGGAGATGTTTATTTAGGCAGTTTTTAATATAACTAGCTAAATCTATTAGGGTATGTCTACACTACAATGTTAGTTCGAACTAACGGACGTTAGTTCGAACTAACATTCATAGCCGCTACACTAGCGCTCCGCTAGTTCGAATTTGAATCGAACTAGCGGAGCGCTTAGTTCGAACTAGGAAAACCTCATTTTACGAGGATTAAGCCTAGTTCGAACTTACTAGTTCGAATTAAGGGGTGTGTAGCCCCTTAATTCGAACTAGTGGGAGGCTAGCCCTCCCCAGGTTTCCCTGGTGGCCACTCTGGCCAACACCAGGGAAACTCTATGCCCTCCTCCCGGCCCCGGACCCCTTAAAGGGGCATGGGCTGGCTACGGTGCCCGTGCCAGGTGCAAGCCTGCCAGCACCCAGCTAGCAGACCCTGCACCTGGCACGGCA